CCGAGCGGGGGAAGCTTCCACCAGCAATGTAAGGTGAGGGGCCTCGTATCCACAGACTTCTGCTTCCCTGTGTTTTCGCTTGCAACCTATTCTCGAAGGGATTGCTTAACCCGCTTTTTCACCTTTTAGCTTGGACAAGAAATGGGGGAAAAACGTTTCTTAAGAAAACATTGCAGGGGGAGCACTTCCATTTTTTCCCTGACCAAGTTTGTTGAAATTAACAGCAGCATTTACCTTACTGACCGTTTAATAAATAAACGGGAATGCGCATGAACCGAAAATCGGACTTGACCACCATACAACAGAAAGGTATACCTTTAAAAAAGTTGAATAAATTGTCGCAACTCTAATCAAAAGTTACCGAGTCCATATGAAAATTAAAATTGCTATAAAAATTGGGATACAAGCCGTAGAACCGTTGAAATAATAAAAACCGTACGTTTCGGGGCGAAAACCGCGACCTCTTCCTTAGCGGATGAAAATTAAAAAATTAATTTAAAAACCTTACAAATTATACCTCCTCCCCATATCGCGAGATACGTGCGGTTCTTACTATTTTAACGTTTTTACAGCTTTTATCCCAATCATTTTATATCAATTTTTGTATCATGTCCGGCAGCGCAGTATATCATTCATATAAAATTAACCGACGGAGACCGCCTGGGGCATGATAGCACAATTCGATCGCTCGAGAGCTCGTGTTGCCTGCACTAAAAATTGAAGGCGAACTGCGTTGCGGCGTTAAGGTAACCATTTCCCTCCCTTCCAGTAAAAAGCTCTTATTAGTGTGTGTCTCGAGTGAACGTGCCTAGTATTACACCGCGTACATTTAAGGCAAACTGATATGGTTGGAATGTAATCTTCCCCCTATAGTAAAGGTACACGGACTTTATGTCCACTTTTTTTATGTCCACAGACTTTTCGTCCACAATTTTTACGTCCACAGCTCTAAAGCCCACACTATTGTTAAGTCCTTTACTTAAACGTCCACTAAATTAAGTCCACAAATGTAAAGTCCACTAAAATCAAATTCAAGCGTCATATTTTAGTCCATGTGTAAAATTATATTGACAATATCGAAATGAGAAAATAAAGAGAGAATGAGGTGTTGTTATCGTAACTCATATTTTAAAGGAAATGTTAATTTCTTCTTTTGATTCATCTTTTCAAATTGTCTTTGGTAAATACTTGGTTTCATTTCTATCCTTGAAATTTCCGGTATGAAATATGCCTTAAATGTACATTCTTTTTTTTAATGAAATTGATTTCTTCATTGTAAAAACATTTACATTTTTAAAACGTGGTAAATATTTGTAAAGCCTTTTCCAAGCAATGGCATCGATATGAATCTCAATGAGCCGTAGTTGCGATGAAAGAAACTATACAAAAATTAATAAAAGAGGAAAAAAACTAAGAAGCACGCAATTTTTTGTTTAACTTATTTGTACATCGACCTCCTTGAGTCAAATACGTCCAATTTTGAGCGTTTAGTTGCGCTTACACCACGCTGCAGCACAGTAAAAGCCCAAAACATAAAAAAATAAATTTGAATGCTTTGGAAATCATTAAATTTGACATGGAACCACTATTATATTTACATAAAACACATTATATTTTCCAGTAGTACATATTTTTTTTCATCAGTTTAAAAGGGAATAATCAATGCAGAGAGTGCAAACATTTCAAAATCATGAGTTGAAAAACGCTGACTCCGCGAGTTTAAATATTAGAGCCTAACACAGAGCGGAGCGGCGTGTTAGCACGCAGAACGCGCACTGGCGCCTACAAACCTAACGGGATACTTACTTCACGCATTACGCAACGCGTGAAGTATCCTGTTAGATTTGTAGGCGCCTATGCGCGTGTCACGCTGGTTGCCTGCCGGGCCGCAACGCTTTAAGCAACTACTTCGCGTCAGAGGCGTTGCACAGTATCCTAATTCCTTATTCTGTCATTTAAACGAGAAGAAAAAATGTGGACATAACATGTCCACAATTTGGACAATTTTGGACATATTCATGGTTGACATTAAATCATGTGGACTTAATAATGACTGGACTTAACGTTTAGTGGACATAAATAGTGGTGGACATTTATTTAATGGACGAAAGGTAGGTGGACATAAAGTCCTGGAAGCATAGTGAACAGCTATTTTCTTAGTGTAGGTATTCCAAGAAAGCGTGGAATTTAGCAATGATACCACTATTCTACCTCTTCTTACTGCTTCATTCTCTTCTCCTTGCTCTCTCTCTTATGCTTCCCCTCTGAAGATAATTATTTTTTTTTTGTTGGCAGGAAATTTTTCAATTTCACATTGTCAGTGGCACGTCAGTTTACGGCCGCCTATCACTCAAGATAATTTCGAATAGAACATCATGTAGTTCTGCATATAATTCCAGCCGACTTGAATATTTAACATTGTGTCTCAATGCATCGTGGCAATTTTTATGAATATGTGAGCACTAACTCAGAAATGTAAACTATATCAAACTATTACGAGGAAAAATTCACAAGAAGTCTCAAAAATCCGGAAAGCCAGAGGTTTTAGTACATTATTGTTCCGTTACATTTTCGCACATTGCATTTGCTCCGTAACAAAATATTAATATGATCAGCATTATCATATTGTTGCTCTTTTTCATAAACCAGAGTTTATGTCTCAGTAAGGGACCCGAGGAGTGCCCTTTCAAAGCTCGAATAGGACAGCAAAATTTTCCATTGCCAGATCTGCTAGCAAATTTTAAAGTAGAAGCACAAAATATTCATCTCCAGCCCGGAGAATACTACCCATTTTCTGAAACTCAAGCAAATCCCGATTCAGGCGCACAAAAAATAAACTTGGGAGTACCCCAAGGATGTCCTTTCAAGGCTCCAGAGGGCCAGAAAAATCCTCCTGTGCCAGAAGGAGTAACAAATTCCAACGTAGAAGCACAACATATTCCCCTCGAACTAGGAGAAAACTATCCATTACCTGACGCTGAAATAAATCCTAGTTCGGGAGCACAAAAAATCGACTCTGCAGTGCCCCATGGGTGTCCTTTCCAAGCTCAAAAAAACCAGGGAAACACTCCACATCCAGAAGTGAGAGCAAGTTCCAGTGTGAAAGCACAAAATTCTCACCCCTCACTCGGAGAAAACCACCCACCTCCCGCCGAAAAGGAGGATTCCAACTCAGGAGCACACAAAATTGAGCCTGAAGTACTTCAAGAATGTCCTTTCAAGGCTCAAATAGACCACCAAAATCTTCCATTTCCAGAAGTGGGAACAAGTCCTAAAATGGGAGCACAAAATATTCAACTCAATCTCGGGGAGAACCACCCCTCCTCCAACCTCGCAGAAACTTCTAATCCAGGAGCACAGAAAATCGTCGTCACCGGAAAGCAGGGCCCTCCGTTCTTCAACCTGGGAACAAGCACCAACGCGGAGCCCCTAAAAATTGACGTGACCGGCGAGCATAAATTCACACCACCAGGACCGGAGGACCAGAGAGGCCCTTGTCCAGGGCTGAACGCTCTCGCCAACCACAACTACCTCCCACACAACGGCGTCGCGACCATCCCGGAATTCGTCGAGGCGACCAACACCGTCTTCGGGATGGGCAGGGACCTAGGGACGCTCCTAGCCGTGTACGGCGCCGTCGTCAACGGGAATCTATACTCCTGGAGCATCGGAGGACCCAGCAAAAGAGTCACCCTAGGGAGCCTCTTCAGTCAACCCCAGGGACTCTCTTTCAGCCATAACAAATTCGAGGGCGACGCTTCAGCGACCCGCGGTGACCTCTATCAATACGGAGATGCCTCGAAGCTACAACTATCGCAGTTCGGAGATTTGTACGCAATGACGAACGAATCGTATGATACAGGCGTGATGAACGCCTTCCTCACAAAAAGGCTCGCTCAAAGCAAGAGGGAGAACCCGTATTTCTTCTTCGCCCCTATCTCTGGACCTCTGGTCACAGTTGGCGCGTACCAATTCGTATATAGATTCATGGGCAACAAATCCAAAGAATATCCCGAAGGAAAACTCAACCGTGAGGTGCTGAAATCCTTTTACGCTGTCGGCGGGACTGATAAAAACCTCACTTACACCCCGGGCAACGAGCGTATCCCTGAAAACTGGTACAGGTACCCGAAAGGTCAAGAGTACACTTTGATTAGTTTTTTCAGGGATTTGACTAATGCGGCGTTGAGACATCCGGAGATCCTCGAGATTGGCGGCAACACTGGCAAAGTCGACAGTTTCGTGGGGATCGACATCTCGAGACTAACGGGTGGCACATACAATGTGAACAGCCTTTTACAGGGCAACAATTTAGCGTGTTACGCCTTTCAAATGGCTCAGGAGACTATGCCGGATATTTTCAAGGGGTTCTTCAGCGCTATGATTTCAGCGGTCCTGGCGGTCATCAACACGGTTTTCAGCGCTGCAAGTCCCTCGCTTAGATGCCCGCAGCTGTCGGACTATAATTCGTCGTTGCTCTTGATATATCCAGGATACACGGGGCTGCAAAATGGAAGCTACGAAGCTCCACACCCACCACAACCGTAAATCGACGATGGCCATACTTATTGAAAGTGATTTTTCTGTCAAGCAGGTTTCTGGTGTGATCGAAGTGGCATGCGTAATATTGCATCGATCGTGTCAAAAATCTCGGCAGATTTAGAATTTTTAGCCGAAAAAAGGACGATAGCTCCTGCATATGAGCCTTAAAAAATCATTCTAAACCGAAAAAATCGGGAAAATCTGGAGAAATGAAGGCAGAATCCTGTCCGGAAAAAAGTCTCGCATTCGATACAGTTATCGATTTCTGAATCGAATACGAAGTTTTTATCAGACAGGATTCTGCTTTCGTTCAGGTTTCAGTTGTCGATTTCCGTATGGAATGGGATGGTTTTTTTTTAAATTCTGCTTTCATTCCTCTAGATCTTTGTAATTTTTTTGTTTAGAATGATTCTTTAGGCTCATACGCAGGGGTGTTCGTCCTCTTTTTGACTGAAAATTCGTAACATGCAGAGATTTTTGACATAATCGATTCAATATATCGCATGCCACTTCGACCATACGTAAGAAACCTAGACGAATCACCTTAAGATAGATTCTCAGCGTTTGCGCAGTGATTTCTGGGTATCGTGGATATAATTAAACGTTTGATCATTGTGCGGGTAATTTTAGAAAAATTGAACACTCAACCGATACGATTCAGGGCACGGCCGATGTATCGTCGCTCCTCCGATGTAAGAGCGTATCTCTGGTTCCACATGAGCCGTGGAAAGAATAGAGTTATATGGAGAATGGGGCTCACGTGGAAATCGAGATACGCTCTTACATCAGAGGAGCGGCAATGTTCCAAATATTAATCATTTACCTAAGTAGCTGATTTTGAAGAAAATCAACAATTCAGTCTCCATATCAATCAATGAGGAAAGTCCGTACCAAAAATCATCTTCTAAAAGCTTTAAGTATAGTCAGAGGTACCGGTTACAATTTGCAGTCGGTTTCAATGTACCGATTTCAATCGGATAATTAACCGGAAACAGCACTTCTAACTTCGTAAAAAGATTCTGAGTACGATTTTCGAGACGGACATTCTAGAAACTAAAGTTTCGATTTTTCTACATTAATCCACCCGATTGTAAAAATTTAGATCATATTGATCGAATCCCCCATTGCGCCAAATCTGATGGTGCTTTGACGTTGATTCCAAACGTTCACGTAATACTCATCGCAGAATCGGTTGAGGAAGTAACCGTAGCAAAAGTAATCGAAAGGTGACATGCATGACACATCCCAAATAGCACAGATTGTAATAAGTAGCGATTAAATTGTAAAAATATTACAATTCCACTGAGTGTTGTGTATGTTGCCTAGCTCCTATTTGAAGGGGCCCCATTTATTGAATCTTATTGCAATAAAATTGAAATAAGTTGCAATTTTTCATTGCATTGCATAGTGTCTATCTTTCTGACACATGGAGTGAATTTTGTTGATTGTTTAAAATCGGCATAAATCAACTAAATGATGTAAAAATATTGCAAATTAATGGTAAAAAAATTAAAATTTTGTTTCAATCAGATTGCAATTTAATTTCAATATTTTCGTTACACTGTGCTACATGGCATGGTCATATTTTGCATTTTTGCGTCACCTTCGGTTACTCCTGTCCTGCACCCAAAACCAATGTTATTATAAATTTTCTGAATATTTTATTAGAACTCTAAAGTTGCATTTATGAGTAAATTTAAATAAATTGTGATGTGGTTTCTAATTTTTGTTTTTATTTTACTTGAGGCTGCTTTTTTTTTTCATCATTATTATTTTTCTCGTTCTCATTTCATCATTCTTCAAAATGTTTGCGGAAAGTTTACGCGACTTCTTCATCAAGAAATGCCATTAGTGTGATGATAAGTTCTACTTATTTGCATTTTTCAAAAGAAAAAAAAATCTAAGACCCAAGTTTGTAAAACACATAGATGAAATTATTTTCATTATTTTTTTCCTAATAAAAACCAATCGACGAGTTTGTGTTTTCGCTTCACCCTAACCTTTCTGTGACTTGTCATTCATATCATTCAAGGCTGCATCATTAAAAATTACTTCTACATTTTGAATGAAGTATCCAGATAATTACAAAAACATTTTGAATTTTCTTTTCACCAAAATTTACGGATCATAAAATATAATTTTTTGAATGATGTGGAGCGTTTCATTGCATAAAGTGAATGAATAATCGTCTTAACTTGTGCTCCGGAAAAATGAATCAGTGAGAACAAAAACACATCAACTCGAAAAAATGAAAAAAATGAAGACAGACACGAAACTGCACAGTGGGTGATGAAGTTAGTCCAAGAGAAAGATTTTTGGTGCCGAAAGACGACTACTTCGTCAAATGCCTTTAAGTGTCCTTACACGTCAAAGGTCCAAGTTGGAACAGATGCCCTAACTTCAAAGACCTTTATGAAAATTGAGCATTTTCGAGTTATTACCAAATTGGTGTATTTTCGTCCTCACTGGTTCAAATATGGGAACTGTCAGAACTGGGTTTAAAAGATAAATTAAATCGCGGGCAAAATTTTATTTAACTCTAGTTTACATTGTAAAAACTTTATATGACAAAAGAGGATTGAGGGAACTAGTTTTGACCATTTGAATATAGTTTTAATCTTATGTTCTGGCTTAAGTTTAACCATGTCGCGAAATATAGCCCTGAAAATGAAAAAGATAATAGGATAAACATAACTTTAATCGCCTCGTGGAACTTGACAGTAGTTCGAGGTAACTTTTTCGTGAAGAGATAAACCACGGCACGTTTCTCACGTCTTCGTGACTCGCGAAAAGTTGTATACAGTTATTCCATTTTTATGGACCCGAGTAGCAGTACGTGATCGCGATAAGTTGCGATGTGATCGCGGAAAATGTATTGCAACTTCATCGCATAAATTTGCAATTAAATCGCGATTTTATTGACGGCGGCTTATCGCAATGGTATCGAACAAAAAATCATGATAAATTAAGATTAAATTTCGACTTTTTCGAACGTGATTTTATAGAGATAAAGTCGCGGCAAGAGTGAGGATAATCGCTCAGATGTTGATGATCCTAGCGATTTTATCGCCAAAAAATCGTAAAAAAAATCGCAACTTAATTTCAATACATCGCGATTTCTCCGTTTAAAAATGCTACTCGGGCATACCTGATGATGGGAGAGAATCGCGAAATGACCATTTTGATAAGTTTTAAAAAATTCGAACTAAAATTGGTGAGTCGTGGAAAAAGTTACTTTAGACTCCTTCTAAAATGGACCGCGTTAAATAGAAAGGAACCAAGCCACATCAGCCATTGCCAAATTTAATAGGGCAATTTAATTTTTTACATGAAAACGGTTCTGCGGATTTTCGTGCAAATTGCAGTGAAAATTCTCCAGCATAGTTTGAAGCAAATTCCTTAGAAATTTCAAAGGAATCCGCACAAACGTTCTCTCGTAAAAAATTGTATTGCCCGTCTATATTTGGCAATAGCTGATGTGGCTTGGTTCCTTTCTGTTAAACTCGGTCCAAATATTACAGACCTATTTTAGGGCTAAGTGACCTTAATTGTAGTCCCGCTGCTGGGCGTTCCCTTGGCATTCATAACGAACAAAAACCAGTAACCCGGAAGCAATTTTCCGGGATCCGCCGGCAGGGTCACAGAATAGGCGTTCGTTCCCGCCACCCTCAGGGTTAGAGCCACACGGCGTTGGTCCGTGTTAACCGAATGCGTAGCACTACCCAAACGGCAAAGACTTGCCGACGCTACACCACTATCAGTCTTTATTGTCAGGCTTCCTCCAGGTTTAATAGTGGTCGCCGAAACACTGGCGATAACCGGTCTGGTTGCTCTGCTCCCGTCGGCATTGAACAGGTACGACGGAGAGTAAGTTTGGAAGTTGAAGTGGTTCGTCTTGCAGGTCCCGCAGAGACCACCTCCACCACAGACCACCGTTCCGTCTTTCATGAGAAGAGCGACCGAGTGGTAGACGCGGGGGATGGAGTTAGCTGCCGCCAATCGGAATCTATCATCTTTCGATGAGTAGATTTCGGAGGTCAATTGGGCTCCCGTGTCTTGGAACGGTAGCCCCACGCCCTGCCCACCGCAGATGAAGACCTCGCCGTTGGGGAGCACCACGGCGTTGACGAAAATACGCGGGTAGGTCATCTTGTTGCCGGTCGCTTTGACGACGACGTTGGCGTTCGGCTGTCCGATGGTGATGACGTAGGCGTTGGTCGTGGCGGCGGTGTCGTCGTAGTTCGGCGACCCCCCGGCGACCAGGATCTTGCCCCCGACGGCGTCGAACATGACGGCGACGCCGCACATGGCGTCCGGGCCCCCGCCGCGGGTCCCGGCGCTTCTTTGGCCGCCGGTCCCTGTCACCGTGTACCAGTTCATGGCCGTGCTCGGCCCGGCCTGGAGGACCGCGTCGTTGGACCAGGCGAACAACATGGCGTGGTTGTCCGCGCGATAGGTGCCTTTCTTATCGGCTGTTAGCATCGGTTTGACGGGGCACCCGGGGAGGAGAGTCCATTTGTTGGTCGCGGTGTCGTAGATCTCGCCGTTTTTGACGACGTTCTGGTTGCCGCTCCAGGAACCGCCGATGGTGAAGATTCGGCCGCTGGAACACGTGCAGGAGGACTGGTAGCCGCGCGCGATGTTCATGTCCGGGGCCGAGATCCAGGAGTTGGAGGCCGGGTCGTAGATGCTGGTCCTGGGAGCGCTATTCCCACCTGCGGAAAAATTTAATCGTCACTACCCACGGAGAAAGCGAAGAAACCCGAAAGCGCAAATTTCCAAAAGCGCAAATCGTCCATTTGCGCTATCCAAAAAAAAACATTCAGTTCACTCAAAACTTTTACGTGAATTAAAAAAAGTTGCAGGATATTCGGTGAAATTCCGCAGTATTCATGTTTTCAGAAAGAAATAACGCATTTTTTGGAAAACATTTTTTTTTTTTTTTTTTTTTTTTTTTTTTTTTTTTTTTTTTTTGTAAACTGTACGGAAAAGTTTACGCATAGCATTAAGAAAAATATTAAAATGAATTCATCATAGTCAAGTAATTTTTTAACTGCCACAAAAATTACCCACAAAACTACACAGTTTATGAATTTATGATACAAAATCTTATAATATGTGCCGATGGGCGTGATACCACTATTCGAACTCCTAGGAGCTCGGTGTGCCTATTCAATTCATTGAAGGCGTTTTAATTTTCCGTTGCGCCACGCTAAATTCCTATTAACTATCGCGGTAACAAGCAGATTCTCTCTTCAAACTGATTCTTCTCCAATGATCTTTTCGCATAAAATATCTAATGCAATTTGTGTGTACAACTAAAATCTAACTACATGTTGCCGTTTCACAGCCATTTCCTAGCGGAAAAAGGGAGAGGAAGAAGGAAAAAATAAGAATAATATATCGATAGCTGAAGTGCGAAACCACGTTTCTCCGTGTTGCAGATTTTTAGTCAATTTTTTTTCTTTCTTTTCTTGGAAACTAGTCAGCGTAATTTCTTGAAAACTTCCTTGATTTCTTCACTCTGTGAGTGTACCATTCTTTATGTTATTATTATTGTATTATGTTATGTTATTATTTCAAGCTATAAATTTTACTCGTTCCTCCTCACTGGAAAAAAACACATAGGATTTAGAGTCCAGACTCTTAAAAACATCGACAAGAAAAATTACTCTTGATTCAGTCAGATTTAAGCTTAAATCAAGAACCAAGCCTCTTAATTTGAGCGGATTTCCTTTTGATTTAAGCTTAAATCTGATTGAATCAAGAGTCCTTTTTCTTGTCAATGTTTTCAAGAGTCTGGACTCTAGATCCAATGTGCTTTTTTCCAGTGCTCGGAAAAATAAACTAGAAGCGGAGATTTTGAAAAAACGGAATGAAGGTACGTGGTTCGATACTTTGGCCATCGACATGTACCTGTAACAATGACTCGTCCGTTGAAGTCGATGGAACACCCGGGACAGAACATGTCATGGCGGGTGTTGGAGACGGTGCGCTGCGTGATGGTCCTGTCATTAGGGTTGTAGATGGCTGTAAGCGTGACGCCACCCGGGCCATTGACGAAGCTGTCTTTGGCGTAAGAGGACCACATGAGGACGTTGCCGTTGGGTAGAACGGCTGTCGCGACGGGGACGATCGGGGTGTCGATCGTGGGTCCCCAGATCCCAAGGCTCGCCTGCGGGGCCGTGTACGAAGCCGCGGCGTAAACGTTGAGCTCTGCCACAGCCGTGAAAGCTTGGTTTTTTGGCTCCGTTGTATGTACCAGTCTCATGTACCGCGCTTTGACCGCCTCGAATTCGGAAATCTACAGAAACATGCTATCATAGGGCTAGTGACATAAAGTAACCGAACCTAACGCGGAGATTGCAGTGGTGTCAGGAGTCATGTTTGCAGACGAACAACTCGTCAAGTTTGAAATGGGGGNGGGGGGGGGGGGGGTGACTTTATCTTGATGCGCAATAAGCGTAGATTCGCCGAAGCTGGACTAGCTGGGCAATTTAATTTTTTACAAGATAGCGTTTGTGCGGATTCCTTTGAAAATTCTAAAAAAAAATTGCTTTGTACTATGTAGAGAATTTACACAAAAAGCCACTTCGCCACAAGATGGCAACACACAAGTTGGGGTCTAAAACTGGGTAAAAAAATCTGATTTTGTAATTTTAGTGGAGTTTACGAACATACGAGTTACGAGTACATAACGTCGCTCATCTAACGTAAGAGGGAATCTCAATTTCCACATGAGCCCTGTGCTTCGTTTACTTCCATACTTGCCGCGGCTTATGAGGAAATAGATATACGCTCTTACGTCAGAGGAGCGCCGATAAGAGTACATTTTCAGCAGTTGCAAATCATCTACATGCAATGTCAGCCATTTTCTTGGATCCCAGACATCCTTCTGACGCCTAAAGTGGCGAGGCTATAGTCAAACATCAGGAATTCCTTGGTGTTCATACTCTCCCTACAAGTTTGCTATGTTGCTCTAGCTAATCGCTGGATAAAATGCCTACTTTTTGATGTGGCTGCTGCACGCACAATCTTTGACATGGAATTATTGTGTATATATCCAGGGTTTTCCCTCAAATGACACCGACTGTAGGCAAATCCGCCAGCTGATTATTGAAATTGGTAGACAAAGCTTCAGAAAAAGAAGTCGAGAGGAAAATGAAGCGACCCTATTGATGAAGGCGGGTGGTTGCAATGGACTAAAGAGGTAAGTAATACTCGTAGACGAATTAACGGCAACCCCTGAGAGACTCTATAATTAGTTTATCATTCTCCCCCTTAGTCTATAGCAAGCACCTGTTTCGACCAATGGGATTACTCAATTAACCTTTGTCTCCTTTGTCTATTTGTTTCTCTATCAATTGCAGTAATCAGCCAAATGATGTTATAGATGGACGGATTTGATAAGAATCAGTCTAACTACATCATACCTGACTCGATGCCCCCTTATTCTTTAAATTTTAAAGGAGGGGTATCGTTAAGGGCCTTTTTGGCCCCTCCCTGAAATTCCTCAACTCTGCGATTTTTTAGTCATTGAAAAAATAAAATAAAATAAAATAGGATCGGTACTTTTGAAACACAGCCATGCACTGAAAAAAAATTCTCGGCGTTTTTACCAAGGTCCGTTGGTACCTTTACCATCTCACTTGTTTTTACCAATTTTTGGTAATTTTACCAAGACAGACTGGTAAGCGTACCTAAAAACTGGTATTTTTGCTGTTTTATTCAGGTAAGAATACCACTTTTATTGGTAATCCATTCCCGGTAACTTTGCCATTTTATCTCGGTAATTACACCACAGTCGATAAAAAATATTGGCGTTTTTACCAAGGTCTAGTAAAATTACCGAGAAAGTTCAATAATTTTACCGAGATTTCTCGGTAAAATTACCAATTCCATAAGTTGTAATTTTATCAAGAAAAAACTGGGATCAAATAGAACCCTGAATTCTTGGTAATTTTTCCCCTATCTTAGTAAATACACCGAGATTTTTTTTTCAGTGTGGGGGTACGAGGTTTCTCACTTTTGCCATCGATATACCTTCTCTGTGTTATCCGCGTACCAAGTGCCGAACGCAACCAGCACCCAATTCCTCCCATCCTGACTAACGGAAATAGTGTGCCCCGCGATCAATCCATTGGCATTGCCGTCCTGTCTGGGGAGCATGCCGAGTCCGTTGACGGTCTTAACAGCCTTCATGTCGATGGTGATCGAGTGCGGCAGAGGTCTCGCCGTCGGTTGATACTCGGAGTGCCAGAACGTGTTCACATTCCCATCCAACACCTTGGCGCACTCGTTCCCCGCGTGAGAGCTGTCGCAAGTGACCGTCCAACCCGCGCGGTTCAGCAACGTCCCAATCGGAGGCGCCGCGAGGAGGGACTGTCCCAGAAGCGTGGCGTTGAAGTCGATGATACCCTCGGCTATCAAGGACTCGGTCAGATTCGTGGAGTAGCACCCCCCGATAAGGGTCATTGAAAGGAGAATCACAGTCAGCGTCATTTTTTCAGCCAAGGTCTAGTGTGGTTAGACGGAACTACACCTATCCGCAGGATTCGGATTCCGAAGTACGGTTCTAGCTCGAGTGCCTATAACCCAAGCAGCATTTTTCAATGTAAAAGTTGCAACAAGTTGAAACAATGTCGGTATTAGTTGCAACAAAGTTTCAACTTTAGGTCAACTTTTGGTCGATTAGTGCCGATTTTCGGCGATCTGATCGGAAGACAAAATTGCAACCTGCTGAGATTGCAAAATTGCTGAACCGAAGTTGTTTAAAATCTGAAGATAGGCAACCAGCAATACTTTGAAGTTGAAACATTTTTCAACTTAATTGCAAGTAATTCCAACAATGGTAGCTCCTTCGGGGGAGAGAGTAGGCAATCTGCACATCAATCTATTAGTTGCAAGAATCAAACGATTTTGTTGCGAGTTGTTGCAACCTCTCTTACTTGGGAAGAGAAGAGTATGGATATGTCGGTAAATTTGGGTGTTAGGTTATGGAGATTCTAGGACCCAAAAAAGCGGTCAACCTATGAACTCAAACTATCCTGAATGATGTACTATTCTAACTGTTCCGACCCTCAGTTTGTAAAACACGTATTCAAGTTACTTTTTGCGTAAATATACTCATTTTTGCGGGAGAATGTTCAAATATGAACATTTCTTGGCCATCTTGGTGCGATATTGGAATCTGTAGATAGGCAGCCGCATTTTGACAGTGTTTTTCGTGTCTGAGGGTTGGCTGCCTTTTTGGGCCCTAAGATACCCAACTAATGGAATACTGGAAAAATTGGTTGGACTTGGCATAGACTATGGACATCGTAAGAGCAAGGATTTTTGTTTCTATGTGTTGGAGGAGAGGTTACCAAATGTAAGACGGAACACTCTACTTGGGTGCAAAGTGTGTAGATACCGACAACCTGGAACATAAAAATGCAGAAATTCGAGTACCTCGTTAAGTGTAGCCTAATTTTCTGAACGTTAAGTTGTGTAAAACTATTGTGTCAAAAGTCAATACTTAGGTCAGGCATACATCGGGAGGCACTCAAGATAGGAGAAGATGTCGGCCTCGTTACTTAACTTCTCTGTACATCATTGCCATCAAAGAGTGGAGGATTGCAAGTTCACGCCTCCTATGCCATCGCGCCTTCAATTTTCTAAATGCAACACGGTCATCCATCAAGCACGAATAGTTGTATCTTTGCGCCGTCATCAACGCTCGTCCTTTCTATTGCTCTATTTCCATGTTGTGTTGGTACCGTTTGTCTTATTTGTAGTGGTGCGGCAAGGGTTACCTGAGCTACACAGCCAAAGATAGGCAAAACGTCATCCGGCATTGTTTTTTTATTTTTTCCCCGAATTTGAGCGGCACCTCATTGGCAGCATAGAGTGGAGCATTGAGAGTTCACGCGTCGCCTTCAATTTTGTGGATGCAACACTGACAGCCATCAAGCACGAATAGTTGTATCTCTTCGCTGGCATATTCACACGTTGAGGTGTCTCTTATTTTTGATATTTGAGACAAATTATGTTCAAGTTTGCTCAAAACACGCTATAATGTGTCCAAATTAAAAATCATTTTGAAAAAAAAAAAAATGTTTAGAGATCTCTCAAGCGCCCCAAAAAACGCAGCACGTACAAAAATTGTTATTTTGACGAGTTTTATCATGTCTGGGGGCCTTTGTTTTTTTGGCGACTACCTCTAGAGATCCCGAGCCGCGTCAAAATAACCCGACTATCCCTGCTGAAGGAGTTACAAAGGCCGGATGAAGAGAAGGGTGAGGTAGCGCCAGTATTATCAAAACTGTGAAAATTAAAGGGGAAAAAAGTATTTCTTACCCTCAAAAACACAGAAATAACATATAGTGCCCCCAAAAACTATCAAAATAAATGTATTTATATCCGGGTCAATCTGACCCGACTTGGGACCTTGCGCATAAAAAAATCGAAACTTTTTTGAAAACTTTTAATCGATCATTTAATAATCATGATTTTCACTTCGGGTCAAAAATCTCGAATCGATTACTTTACAAGTATGATTAAAACAGAAAGGCATGAGCACCTACCTCTTAACAATAACCATAGCGTAACTGGGAAAATTGCTCAAAGAAAAACCAAAAATGCATGCGCACAGTTCAACGTTTACTGTACGTAGGTATGCCCGAAATAGACCTTTATAGCGCGCAGATACCATGAATATAGTTACGAATTCGGCAAGATAACGTGTCAAATCCACGACTTAACTGCACGACAGGAAAATGGCTTGATAGTGAACATCACGCTTCCACCCGGAATACCACAGTGTTAAGGAATAACATCATATGAATCTCCAGATGTTGACAAATTTTCTTTTAATAACATGAATTCTCAGAGAAATCTGTGAATATTTTCCCTCCGATTCTCCTTAGAGAATTTTATCCGTAATCAGATCTAAACAAGAGAAAAACACAGAGAAACATGGCCCGAGCTACACGTAACAAAATGGTGAAAGGGATTCACTCTATTTTCCAAGGCCGAAAAGTTCAAAATTTCGATTGAGTCAAATCGTTTTTGAAGCTTTCAAGAGGAAAATATTCATAACTTTCTATCAAAATAAACATTTTATTGGAGGAAATTTGGCAACTCTCAAATTTTCCTCTTCCTCAGCACGACAGAATAGGTGAAGATTAATTGACAGAGTTTTGGTGACTACACGTGAGAAATATTTTGTATTTATGGTTAATTTGGCTCCTTCGTCTCTTCAAAAAAAGAAATTAGAAGCGGTGATTTTGAAAAACCGCAAAAGAGGTACATGATTATTTCGTACTTTGGCCATCGATTTATGGTGGTCTGCGCAGAGGGTGCAGATAGAGTGGAGAAGAGGAGAAATATTGGTGATCTTTGCGTTGAGAAGTGTTTTGCGAACATTACAATGCAAAACACGCCCAAAAATTTCAATATGACCAAGAGTGAGGACTCTTAAATTTGCAGTTCAAAAAGCAGACTTCAGAGATCGAAAGTCCTGCCCTCCACTCTAATATCAGACATTTCTTTTCTATGCAAAGACACCTCCGATTGGCACTGAAAATTCTCTTGCTCATTCTCTTTTGAGCGATTCACCTCTCGGCGGGACGCGTGGGAACAAGGTACGGAACCTGCAAAACTGGCCCTGCAGTTGCAGTAAGTTTCGAACATGTCATTAGGAGGAGCGGAAGATGAAGATACGAGAAAGCAGAGGAGGGAAGAGGAAAGGGGAGAAGGGAAAGAGGGAGAAATAATTTTACAACATCAAAATCCGGAGTGAAACCCAGCGCCAGCGCGGCGCTTGCGAGTATGATTACCTATTTGTGCTTGCGTTCGCCAAGATCGCCTTCAAAAGGTCGAGTATGCAACACCGCGCAATAGTTGCGCCCGATTAGTTGCCGCTCAACGAAATGCAGGCGTAGTGACAGGAGCTTCTGCGTGTGCGGAATCGGAATGAAAGGGGGAAAGCGACGTCTTTTAAACTATGACTGTAGTGAAAAAATTACGAACAACTCAGATTGTGGCGTTGTAGGTTCTCGATAATCTTTTAATGTTAGCCAATTAGGAAAATCAGCCAATAGTTTCTACCGATGTATTCTGCGAATTTTCTTCACTCTGATACTTTAGGTATATATGAAAATAAAAAATAAAGCATAATACTTAAAAATTCAACGTAATCGGAGATTTTTAAACTTCGCAATTTAGATGCGCATTTTTCGCATTCAGCCATCGATTTGTTAAATCATCTACGACGTAAGTCCGCAATCACATATGTCGTTCGCAGTGTCTGAAAATCTCCGCCCCTATGTTATTTTCTTAAAGGAGAACAAATTGACATCATTCCTTGAAGTTTTTGCAGAATTTTCTTCGCACAGAGAAGAAAAATCGCGGCAGTTTTAAATAATTGCCGTTGAGTAGTTTTCCGTTTAAAAAATAAAGTATGACAGGAAGTTTGCGACGACGCAAACCGAGTTATATGATTGCCGACTTACACCGTCGTCATATTCTACATCAATAGTACGGAGTACGCTCATCAAATTCAATGTAATAAATGTTTAATGGAGAAAGTAAAGTGCGGGTTAGAAACTAAGATGTCGCCGCAACAAAATAGTTGCCTGCAGTCCTCTAAATAATGCTCTGGTGACCACATAAGATGGCCCGGGCACAAACTTTTCTGCATAAAAGCATTTCCTTCTCCATGGTGGTAATCACGCAATCGCCGCTCGAGTTTCACATAATTATTCCCCGTTTCTCCTCATCGCATCGCATTGAATGCGATTGCCCGGGGCTAGGACCGCACATCTTATCTGATAAAATCGTGTTTTAACCATGTAAAAACCCCTTTTTTTACCGATTTTGGGAGAGTAGGCCAGACGAGTCTATAAATCAGCTGTCGGTCCTATTTTAATGCTTAAAAGTAGAAGAAAAACGGGGGAAAAAACACTAAAACGTGATCAATTTTCAAGAACAAATTCTGTAATTTCTCCTACGATTTTAAATAGATTAAATTGCGTAATATCCAAAATCTAAGCTCAGATTCGGATTCCTCGTGAAAAATTGATGAGATTTCATGTATCATATGTTAAAATAGCGTGAAGGAAAAAGGTTTAACGACGCGTACAGATTCTGTCATACTACTCGTTTGAACTACTACGCCGCCGCGCGGATCGCCCGAGTGAAACCGAGCGGGGAGGCGCCGGCCGGCGCTAAGCATTCGGTTTCGTCCCGAGGAATCTCCGACGATAAATTCTTCTTCTTCCTCCTCCGCTGACCCACTGAGGAGCTACCCATGTTGCCACGTGGACTCATATGTTAGAAACAGTATGCGTACGTAAGGCCTCTTTCCTTCACGCTATGATCGGGTATGATACATGAAATGGCATCGATTTTTAACGAGGAATCCGAATCCAAGCTTGGATTTTGAATACCACGCATTATAAGTCGAATTTTCAAAGAAAATCCGAAATGACGGACGTGGCTTAAAAGGCTATCTCGGCTCTTGTTCGATGGATTTAAATGGATTTTTATGTAACTTGGTGTCGGGGGGAATTTGCCGAGGGGAACTCGAATTTTTTGTCAATTTTTGAAATTTCTCACATCCAAGATGGCGGACGCGTTCGAGTTTTGTGAAACTCGGAATACGGTAGCCGTCCTTTGAAGTTTTTTCACCAATGACACGACACCCTTACTTACTTCCTCGATGAAAGTATTGCAATTTGACCTGTTTAGCAACACGCATGCCGCTTACAAATTGCCGGCGATTGCTGATTGCCTGTGACAGCTTTTCTATAGTCGTGGAGAAAGACATTGCAATTCTGATATTCGTATGTTTTCATTTTAAATGTTTTATTTGTGAGTAAAATAAAGGGTTTTAATGAAAATATGTCACTATAAGATAGCTTTATTTTTTAGTAAGTTACTATAAATGTTTAATGAACATTCCGCAAATCAAGCCCTAAACCCAAATTAAGGGGCTTTCAGGACAAGTGGGATACATAAGCGTAATTTTCAAAAAAATTGAGATCTACACGATTTTAACTAAAACTAGTCCTAAAATATAATCTGTGAAAAATTCACCAGACACCTACTGAAATCCAATTTTTAAGCGTCAAAAAGTATGAGTTTGAACTTTCTCTCCGCCCTTAGGCTCCACGTAATTTTGAAACTTTAAACACGTATTTCTTGAAATAGCGAAAAAACTGCACTTCTACCACTTGTCCTTCAACCTTCAAGCCCTGCAGTTAACGGCGCACAGTGGTCGTAATCGCGCGATGCGTACCTACCCGCGGCGCGGCGCGCGGCGTTCTGCAGTGTACAGTGCTCTGCAGTGTGAACGTCCCTTGAACAAAATGTAAACATAAACAATACTCAACGTGACTAACCTCAAAAAAAAGTTGTGAGTGCTTCAGAATGCGCGGACGGTTTCTTTTCATATTCCATTCAAATTCCATGAATCAGTGATAATTCTGTCATTGTGCTAAACTCTGCGTTTTCAACACCCTCTCTTGCTTGAAAATATTGGCATTTCCTCTGTAGAAAAATGGGTGAAACAGCAGAAACGGAAGAGCTGGCAAGGCATGCTTTACTTGGAGATGCCACTTTCTTACCCAACTATTTTGAGAACAAGGCATTCATATCTGCTCGCATTGACGAAATTGAAGCTTTAAATCTAGCCATAGGTAAGTTAACGTTATGATATGATATTCATATAAGTTTGTAATGCATGTCGACGGCATAAGTCTGCAATCACATATCTCGTTTGCGGTGTCTGAAAAGCTCCGCCACCATATTATTTTTTTAAAGGAGAACAAATTGACATCATTCCTTGAAGTTTATGCAGAATTTGTTTCTCACAGAGAAGAAAAATCATGGCAGTTTTAAAGAATTGCCGTTAAGTAGTTTTGCGTCTAAAAAATATAGTATGACAGGAAGTCTGCGACGTCGCAAACCAAGTTATGTGATTGCAGACTTACACCGCCGATGTGGATTCATGATAAAACAAAGCTCTCAGTCGACTATGAACTCTCTAAGTCTGCCAGATGAAATCGATGCAAGGTGCATCAGAGTATGAATGTAAGGTGGAATTTTCTAGTTTTAGAATCTTATCAGCATTGAAATTACCGACAGGAGAAAAGGAGGTAGGTTGTTCATGCACCTGCTGGGGACATACTACTCAGCTAATTGAATTACACCATTCTCTGTATGTAAGGGTTTAACATCCAGAAAGGCTCAAAACCAATCCATATCAGTCTGTGTCTTTTTAGGATCCTAATTATTTTTGCTCCAATACTTTTTTTTTTTTTTTTTTTTTGAAAAATTGGTCCATTTCTCTGCCCATTGAAAACTAAAACTTTTCATCTGAAGTTTTTCAACATTGTATTCATTTTCTTCGTTTTTATTTCATAGGAGATGCGTCTCAAAAGGGAATGGTGTTTCAGACCCTGCCAAAACACATGCGACGCCGTATCATGAGCCACACAATCAAAAGAATGCCTCGAAAACTTAGAGAGGCTCACACACGCTCTGTAAGTTTCGCACCCAGAATGTATGGTCAATAATCTTATGAATTTCTACTTTGAATAATGATTAAGGAATGACATTTTGAAGAAATACTTAAATCTAAAATTTCAAAAGAAGAAAATATAAAGCCGTGACACTTTTCATATCTTATTTTGAAAACTACCTATGCAGGTGCATGTGAAATATGAAAGGTATCATGGTTACATAATTTCTTCCTTTGACATTTACGGTAGATATCTCTACTAATATGATTCAAAAATCTCAAAGCTAAGATTTACACATGCTAAATACCTAGCACTAAGCACCTCTCATAAATGTGAGCACAATTGAAAATTGGTGTTTGCAACTGTCCTCTGTAATCTGAATTCTGGGCAGGAAAGACTTACTTGCATTGTAACATTAAGAAGTTTTACATTGATTGCCAAAGTGCAAAACTGTGTATCTCCATTTCCGACATTTGCTGTAGATAAGACAGCTAATTCAGTTCAAAGGGATGTTTCAAGGTACATGTCCCTTAGAAAATAATCTCTAGAATTGTTGATTAAGAAAATATGCAACTGTTCTTGAGCAAATAATTAAATTTTTATGTCAGAATTTACAAAGTTGGAATGCAAGTAGGTAAGTCCTTCTAGTTCCAACCCATTCATTTCAAAATTAAGTGGCAGATTTTATCATTGATGTATATGGTTCATCTTTACAGTTAAAATCAACGGGAGCTTTAAGTGCTGTTCTCAAACGACCCAGCCGAAAGTACCGGCGGCGACCAAGCAATCTACTGAAAGAGTACAATAGACGACAGAAAACAAACATTTGGCTGGAAACTCATATTTGGCATGCCAAACGGTTCCACATGACCAAAAAATGGGGGTATCATCTTGCCGACCGACCCAACGATAAAAGCTACCGTGCATGTTATCGTGCAGCTGCCAATCATTGTCTATTACAGGACTTATCCTTTATGAACTGCATTGAGCTTTTAGGGCCTTACAGTCATCTTGTCGCCACACTCAAGTCCCACACTAGTGCTGAATGTGGACTGACCTTTGGCGCAAAATGCTACAAAAGTGGAGTTCGAGAAGGGAATGTCATGTTCTTTGAAAAGGATAAGTATCCTTTTGGTGCCATCGGCAAAGTTGATTTTCTTTGGAGATTCAATGATTTATCTGAAGAAACTGATGCCAAGTTGTGGCTGTGGTGTCATCCTGCCTATTTCAATCAAATTTTAGAGCAAATCATTTCTTCTTTTGATTTACAAATTGTCAGTTCTGACGGGAAACAATCAAAGAAAAAAAAGGAGAAACGCAAAGAGAAATTGAAGCTTGACACCAGAAATATCCCTTTTACGAGAGTCCCTACTTATACTAGCTCAACAGGCATTGTCAAACTGAATTTATTGAAAGATACGTTGAACAGGTTTCGATTGACGGGTCCACTTGCCAATGCAGTTCTAACATCTGCGTTCAAGATTCCTGAGCCTAGCTCGTCAGCTGAATTTGAAGCTTTTGATTGGTGGAGCGAATATTATTCCTCGGAGAAAAAGTCTGCAGCTTACGCAGCTCAGAAAAACTTCTGGGCTCTCTTGGCCTCCTGCACAAGCCCTTGTCAGTTACCACCACATTCTGCCGTATCCGTCACAATTGTTGATCCCCGATTAACCTTGCCACAAACGAGGACAAAAGCAGTTCCAGACAAAACTGGTAATTCTTTTTTTTTTATTATTTAACAACCTAAATTGCATTATCTCGATGGTTAAATTTAAAAACCACTCACCCTAGTTTAATTGCCAAGTTCCTGTCACCTTTTACTGTTTTGAAAAATAACTGATAATCATAGAGTACATAGATTCGTAATGTAAGTGGGAGAACTGGCGCCACTCTTAAGCATTTTCCAGATCCCGCAATCCGAGACTCCTGTGTCACGTCGGGTCACTTTTTTTATACATAATTGATTGTTTTCGATACACGGGGACCCAACCATCTGATGTAAACAAAGAAGATTGGAATTACCATGTATTCCACACCGCAATTTTTCTCCAGTTCAAACCTTGTTTAGTGGCTCATTCTGACTGGAAAATAATCAGTGACTAATAATCTTCATTGGAAGTTTGTGATGCCAGGAAATTGAACCCATGCTTTTTTTCTTCTTCTTTAAGTTACATTTATATTGGCAAGCTAAGTCTAGTTGATATGACTTGCTATATACCTGTCTCTTAATACAACTCCTTCATTAATAATGAGGGGGGGACATCTAGAACCGAACTGTATGTAACAGGTGGTAAAACAGTGCTCAAAAAAAGTTCCAAAAATTGAACTCTTTGGCCTTGTTTTCCCCTAATAATAGTGTAGACCCAGCATGATTTTATGTAAAAACCTGTTTTCACTATTTTGACACCTTCTTTACACTTATAACTTGCTAGTACTACAGAGCAAAGTAAATGAAAGCATTAGTAGTAATTCGCTTTGCCAAAAGCTTAATGAGATTTGCGTTTTGTTACTGTATCCACCATAGTGAAATCTAATCTCTTAGATAAGTTTTTGAATTCAGTGAGCTCTCAAAATGTATATTTTCATGAGTTATTATTTCTCTGTTGATCAAATAATTTTTTATTTTGAAATCCATTTACAATCTGTCATTGACTTTATGAATATATCCTCTATTATTTTGCACAGTTAACATGAAATTTATGTTTTCACAGCAGTGACTCCTCATCAAATGCCGGTATTGACTTTAGACCCACTTTGTAGCGACAGCCCTCTGTGGGATAGTGCAATTCGTGACAAGGTCACGGAAACCAAACTTTCAACGGCAGAGTTGGGAGAACGGCGATCAAAGCGAGTAGTCCCGGGTATCCTGCCCGGAGAGGCTGAGGTTTTTCCTAGTTCACGCATTCCTATTTTGCTTATTCAAAGGCCTGGTGTACAGTCTAGTTCAAAACGAATAGGTATGTATTCCTTTCAATCTCAAATGGTTGTGTAAAACCTTACATAAATCATGCCGCTCTGACATTTTTATTAATTATTTAATATTAAAGCCCATAAAAATTTCCCAAAACTGACAATTTTGTTAGCAGTAGAATACTCAGGCCATTCTTCATTGACTCTGTACTAGAGGTTTTAACTCAGACTGAATAAAAATCAATCATTCAGGACTCATAACATCATGTTTGAACCCCAGGATTTAACAGCATTCCTTCTTTATAACCATAGGTGCAATTGAGTCTTTCTAAAAGTGCTCCTTAAATTCCCATAAAATTTTTGTTCCAAGGAAGAACTACTGACTGGAATTTGCACTGTAGAAAGTAGTTAGCGGGTTGTTACATGAAACATTCAATGGAATAGAATTAAGCAAAACAGTGATATCTACAATGCAGTGTTTCCAAATATTATATCCTAGCTGAATGTTTTGTAAGGAAACTAACCAACATCCACAAGCTAAAGTTGCTGCAATTTCTTTTAAATTTTCATGCTGTCTTACACATTTTCTCTGGCATTGCCCAATAATTTTCAGTTTCATTTCTTTTTTATGGAGGAGTTGAAACTTTACTGTGTACTTAATTTGTCTTTAATTTCAGGTTTTGGTGGCGGCTGGGATATAATCTCACCGGCTGGCTGGGGCATGGCCTTGTGGGTGGGTCTTGTGTTTAGAGGATGTCGAGCAGGAGGTTTGCGTGAAGCAATCTCACTTTCTCGCGAAATGGGGACCCCATTATTCAATGAACCAGATACTGAAGCGGGGCAGATCAGCAATGAGTCAGAAAAGAAAGCAAACCTAGATGCATATTTCAGGTACTAATTTCCATCTTTTTCCTTTGTCTACCTTATACTTCAACACAAATATGCTCACCTCCTCAGTGTTTTTATCACGTACTCTTGATGAAGAGAGTAAAGGAAAAAAAGATACCTATTAGAAAGAATGGAATAATCTAAATAATGGGCTGATTCTATATATTTCATTTTCCTGAAACTTTTTTTTTCGCTCACATCATGCAAAAAATATTTGTGAAAGTATTTTTCAAATACATTTATCACACGTTTAATTTCAATGTTTTTGAGATATTTAAATTAAATTTTGAACATTGCCTCTGTAGAAAAAAATGCATGGTCATTAGTCATCAGTACATGAAAAATAAGCAATTCTGATGAGTTTGGTACCGAGAACACTAGAAGTAGCTTCAAGGAGACTTGAGAAGCTTGCTTGTGAAACTGGATTTTTAGGAAAGCTTTCAATGAACCCCCATCAAGTGCTCACTCCATGCTAAAAAACTTTCTTGTTGAAAATGGTCAGTCATTCGTAGAGGGAAAAAATAAGAGCCTCCCATTCTTGCCTATTCCATCTTCGCGCTGTGCAGAAGAAGGTCTGAAAAAGACAATCTGTTGTTGTCTCTCTGTTGTAACCACGCCAAAAATTTGCTGCTTAGCCAAAAAAAATAAATTAAAAGTGCAATACTCTGTTAGTTAGATGTTTTGAAATTTACTAAAGCGCAGATCATGTGGATTAGTGTACTGCAAATTTTTTTGTACATTCATGGTGTACTTTGAAGAAGTCTGTGTAATTAGATGCTATTTATTTTAACAGGAAGCCTCCTGCAAAGCGATTGAATTTCATCCTTATGGGTATTCCAACTCCTTTCGACTTCCAGTGGTCACGACTCATTGATGAATGGAATTCATCCTCCAGCTTGCTGCCTGAGAATCCGAGCTCTGACGGCTCTTTCTTTGTTTTACGGAATAGGTTTTATCTAGACCAATTATCATCTTTCTTGACTAGGAATGTACAAAAGAAAAAAATCGAAAAACAATTAAAAAAACTTCTAATACTTGAGCCAGCGCTATCCAAGTGCTTAGTACCTATTAATGTTCTTTTAAATAATGGTGGTAAATTAGATAAGTATTCATTAGTATGCCTTCCAAATGAATCTGACTTTTCTGGAATAAAACAGACTCATAGTCGAAAGCGAATGAGAGATAAGTGTATGATTGATAAAGATATCATAGAAAGCCAGCATGAAGATTATCACTTTGATAAAAGACAATCTCTGAGGGCAGAGCATCAGAAACTGTTGAAAAAACTCAGAAGAAAAAGAGTAATAGAATATAGGAAAAGGAGAGAGGAGCAAGCAAACTGTTGTCTGGCAGATCTCAAAATTCGAAAGAGGAAAGTGAGGAAACCCTCACCAACATTAGAGTTAGTGAAAGATTACAATGAAAAAATGCGAGCGCTTTGGTTACCCAACGAAAAATCCATACAAAATTCTAATTCAAGAGTAGTTATGGGCTTCGTCACTAATGGCGCCTTTTGTTTTTCTGAGTCATTGTCATCTGGTCAAGCTTATGTCACTTTTTTGAGCCTCCTGCAATTAATTTTATTATTAGATAAATGCAGCGTCTCAAGAAATGTTCTCTTAATCAGGAACTATGCCTCCACTCATTACAAATTTGCTGCCTTCTCCCTAGCACTATAAATTACTTTGCCCTGTTTTTCATCCTTAAGTCGTTGTGAATAAACTATGTGTTTGTCTTTAAGCATGAATTAGACATCCTTAACATCTCTCCTTCATGAGGCCATAGGCTTTGCAGGGCTCAGAATCCAAAAGTTCAACCCTTTTAATGTTCAAATACATTCACTGTCGTCTCAGTATGTATTTGTCTGTGAAAACAGAGATGAAATGGATTAATACTGATCACCCATCAATATGTTTACATTCAGTTAAAATTACATTGAATTTCTTTACTTTTTTTACAAAACACTTTTGTAAGTCTTTATTTTGTATAGTATTGTTTTTATTAAAAAAGAGAAAAACTTGCATTTCCCATTTCTTTATTAATATATATATATATTTCCTGAGCTACCTATCTTCAATTTTGAAATCTGCCTCTATTTCTTGCAATAATCAGAGTTTCATGGTCAGTCATAACTTTAAATGAATTAAACTGAATTGAAAAATTTTGTGTAGTCACAAGTGAAAACGCAAATTTTTTTGATCATTTTATCCATTCAACTTTTAACCTGCTGCGGGTAAAGTTTGTCACAACTTTAAAAACCTTATTAAATAGGCTTCCTGCATCCCTTTCTGCTTTGATAGGGTGCCTTCCTCTTTGATTTGCATAGAGTTTATTTGGAATTAAAAATTTATCAGAAAATACTGAGAAACAGTATTATAATATTCTGCAAAAGTTAATTACTGTCCATAGGAGAAAATTTAGTTTTTTCAAATGCTCACACTGTCACAAAAATATTTGATTGTAGGCAGCATAAAATATTTATTCAATTTGGTCTTTTTATTTAAGAGTTTTTCCATCTGTTTCATCCCAGTATATGTGTTTTCTGCTTTACTGACTCTATTCTTAAGAAAAAACCGATTTATTTTGAACAGAACATCAACTTTTTTCATTCCATATGTTTAAGAAAGTTTACTATTTTATTGTTGAAAACTTTTCATTTTAAGTATAAATTAAGAAATCAATATTTTCTCTCACCAATATTAAAACTATTTACAGGGTTTCTTTCCCTGAATAGCAGTTAGGCTATCTTCTGTCTTGCCCATAGCGACAATTGTCGAAAGTTGGCAACACTGTTTTTTATATTTTGGAATACTTACATTTTAAAAGATCAATCTGGATTTGGGAGCCTACCATTATCTGTTATTCTCCGGCCAAAGTATTACGAACGCCATTTATGCTTAGGCACTTTGATGCCAAACTTTGCAGAACTGTCCAATTTTTTACACTGAGCACTAATTAATAGAGTCACTTGAAAATTTTTGCCAATATTTTTTTCTTTTGTCAAAATTTATCTCTGAAATTTTCACGGACACATGTGCCAAAGTTTAAAGAAAATCTTAAAGCGATATTGAGATATGGCGTCTAACTGTACATGGCGCTTGAGATATTTTGGCCGAGAGGTGACCGATGATTGGTGTTTATAATTTTACTTAGATTGGAATGTTTAAGGTGGAACTCTAGCTTTAGGGCAATGCATTCTAGGTACGATAGATATATTTCAAATTTTAACCGTTTGGTGCATAATGTTGGGGAAAACGAAATTTCAGTCTGTAGATCAATCATTACAGAATTTTCGTGCCAATAATCCTACAAAATCTTAGAATTGAGTCTTGTACTGTTTCCATTAAGCAACCGATTTCAATGATTTAGAAACAGTGCTTTTGACTTTATCTTAAGTCTTTGAAAGATAATTTTTGGCATGAACATTCTTCAATGATTTATTCACTAACTGAAATTTCGATTTTTTTTCACATAATTCAACTGCAGGTTAAAATTTTTAATTCATCGATCATACCCAGGATGCATTGCCAAACAGCTGAAGGTTCACCTTAAAACTTGGAGTCATTGACTTGTGAAAATCGCCGCAGCTATAGACGCCAACGTTGAAATTATGACAAAGAAGTTTTAAGAAAAATTTTAATTCTTTATTGCCTAAGTGGAAATAATACATGTTAAACATTTTTCAATTGGTAGCAAACTTTAGGATGAGTCTTGGTCCTCCTCGTCGTCTTGATCACCGTTCTCAGAGCCTCCTCTCTCTTCATCCTCCTCATCATCATCTCCCGCCACTTCAGCGTTCTCAGCCTCGGCACGTTCCATCTGCCGTGCCAGCTCTGCTTCATCGCTGGCTGTCACAACCTTCGGCTAAAATAACAAAATAATGAAATATCATTCATAAGCAATGCCCGTTGTAACCGTCCAACTTCAGGTTTTTTTAAAGTTTTTTTTAACAATACACATTTTCAAATCTTTGAAATGTCACTTGCAAATGATGGGATATCTTAAAAAGAGGGAAAAAAACCAAATGTATCATTACAGATAGAGAGAAAAACAGAAAAGAGATAGAATAACGATGCTTAACCTATCCATGATCGCAATTGGGTTGATTGTGTCTCTATAAAACCAAAAACTTGCAAACATTTGTGGCATGGGCGTTCTTTGTTCGGCTCTGTATGAGGCACTTTCTTCTTATTTTCTCAGTAATTTTTCTGTTTGCAGAGTCTGGGCTTAACAATTTCACAATCTTAACCATTCCAAAAGTTTTCATGAAGGCTTCATGAAAACAAGTTACAAGCTACTTTTAACAAGTTAACTTTGCAAAAGTTTTAAAAAATGAGAAATCAGATCAGAATCAATGTCTGGTGTAGTAACTTGCTCTGTTTAAGTAACTTGTAAACTTTTTAAAAGTGCCTGTTTTGTTAATTTATAATATAGATCTGCAGAAAGGCAGTAGTAAATCTAGCTGGAATGAACTGATGAACATGCCAAGTGGTACATTCACCTAATGACATATGCTGAGCAAACACGACCTCCAACATAGGAAACTGAAGGCATTAACCTGGTTAACTGGACATAAGATCAAAGATTTTTGTTTCGAAAGGCAAAATATTGAGTGAATGTTCGGGGGGGATTTTATGAAAGCATAAAAAGGAACCTTAATTGGACTTCAGTTTGCAATTGAGAACTACAATTTCTGGCTCATCCATAAAAACACGTTTGAGCACAGGAAAACAAATGGTGCATACGTTTTTTCTAAAGCAAACCAGAGATTGTAGTTCCTAATTGCAAAGTGCAATCCACTTGAGCTGCATTTATTAGACAGGAGCCAACTCTCTCGGATTAATCTGTATCCCATCGGCTACTACTTTCCTTGTCTTTTTCATAAAAATGTGTACCAGTGTAGGCTCCTATTTAATGAACGCTATTCAATTTAACCCAAAATAAAGTATCTCATCAAAAATTTTGCTGCACTTACAGCCATCTGGATTTGGAAAACACCTCCTAGTTCGTTGATCTTCTTGTCTACTTGTTCGATGGCATCTTGTAGAGCTTTTAAGCCATCCGCTTTTTCTGGTGTTGCTGTTGTCATGACTGCAAAAAAAAAAAATGAAAGCAATGTTATTAGAACTTTTAAGGTAAGTATGTAGGAAAAGCAAACGACCTTTTGGTGAATGGACGGGTTTATTGTTAATTAGCTCAACGACATCAGACGATGCCAAAATTTCTCTAGTAGTTTATTTTTTAACATGAACTGAAATTTCATGAGTACTTATATTCTCCATAATCTGGGGTAAATTCACTGAACGATTAAAAGAGTTCAGTAGGTTAGTTTTTTGTTCAAGTGTTTAAAAAAAGAACACAAGAAAAAATCAAGCAACAAGAAATGCAGTTAAACTAATTCCTACCAAATCTGTCCAAATATGATCATCTACTGGAACAGGGACTGAAGTGCATAAGACCCAGAAATAAGATATTGGTACCACTAATCGAAGGAGTGTTTAACAAACATTTTGGCAAAGACAAGTTCAAACTGAACAATTTGGGCACTTTGAAGTTTGCAATTGAAAAATCGTGGTTTAGTGAAAAAGCTATTCATCAAAGTTTTAATCAGCCATGATTGAGACAAAAAATTGTCGGTTTATAATACAAATTTTCTTTCTGGGATACCAGAAAGTGATTTCCATCAAAATCTCAAATTAGGTGCAATCCTACACGACAAAATCACATTTCTGAAAACTTATACTCTATGAATTAGGCTCCATTTCCCTCGAACGGACAAAAGAAAATCAAAGTTAAAAGTGAGAAACCCCTCATGCTCATTCAAAATGAAAAAAAAAATAATTTTTTCATTTTATTTCATTTTTTTAAGTACCTAATTGATACAATTCAACCTTCTTTAAATCAAAGATCAACTTTATAAAGCTTGAAATTGACTGGAATACCTGCACAAAGAAAAATAGAAATACCTTGAGAAATTCACTGGTACATTGAGATAACAACCAGAAATATTTAGGAGGCTTACCATACAAGGGAGGCGCTATAAGATTGATTTTAATTGGTAAAGAAGGTGTGGAGCATGCAAGACCAGCCCTTAACGCAGCTTTCACAGCATCAATGCCTTCATAACCATAGCAAGCAACCTCAATATCAGCTCGAATTTTAACAGCTTGCGACGTCAGTTTATTTTGGATGTTGTTGTACAGCACATCTAATGTTTTCTCATCCAACCCACATTCATTCAGGACACTCTTGTCACTGTAAACAGCAGTATCAGATAACCAATTAACAAATCAAATTAAACACAACAAAAAAATATGAAAGCAAAATATAATTGGTTTGAAATTATCAAGTTTTTGTGAAGATCGGCAGTTCGTAAGTACAATGTACATGTAATAAAAAAACTGGAAAAATAATAGCAACAGATAAGATGCTTTGAAAAACTTCTGTTTTTTTATAGAAATATGAGTGTGAAAAAAATCTCGAATTAAAAGAATATAATTTAAAACCTGCAAATTAGTGTGCAATTATAAAATGTATAGAGAAAAGAGGGGAGAAGGGTGGGAGGAATGGGTAAAAACCCCTTCGACGTTCCGTCACACAATGCTAGACCTCTTCTGTTCCCTTATCACACGATCATAGATTCCTTACCTTCTGCTGCGGCAAAATGAGCGAGCAAGAGTATCCCCAAGAGTACTTACAGATCTGAGAAAAAAAGTCTACAAAAATCTGACTAACTTTTTTCTAAGAGAGATAATCAACAGATTGACAGTAACTCTTAAAGCTCTGCAAAGGAAACAATTTTGGTGAAAATAACTTGGCATTAGAAGTGAAGCACTCGATACATTCTAAAGAACCTTCATGTAATTAGAATTCTGAGCCAATTGAAAGCTAGAAACAAAAAAATAAAGTACTTACACTACTGCTTGTTTGAAAAAGTCAAAAGCAGATGCTTTCTTTTTGGTTTTTTCCTCAAAATACCATGCCGTTCGCTGGTACAATTCTTCCAGTTGCTGATCATTTTCATATCCAAGCAACTCAGCGACATGCCGCAGTATTGAGTTGACAGCCTTTGCTTTTGAAAACCTTTCTGTACATTTTTCAATATCTTCAGGAGAAACTCGACGTTTTGACAAATCTATATAACCTGTGAAAAATGAAAAAAACTCTTAGAATAAATTACTTCAGTGGTTACATTTCTGTAAAAACAAATATTTTTTTTTTTCTTTTTTTTTGCTGTTGTTGTAATTTCTATATCTACTGAAACTTATAAACAAATTTAAAAGACCATCTAATCAACAACAATTGTTTAAACAGCTTTGCTAAGTAAGATTTTATGACAACATTAAGTTGAAACTTTACTTGATGTTACATATTACATCCAGGAATATTGAAAAGAGGAACACCTCATATAATATCAAGGACCAGGTTTTTTTGTTCTTTACTCAAACCTATTTATAATGAATGGACTCCAAAATCCAATTTCCCTTCAGGAATTTTACCTACTACTAAATCAAGAAAATTTTAAAATGCAGACACTGACTTGCTCATAATGTTACTTTTCCATTCTTTTTACGGCTGTACAGATTTCTCATTCTCGCATACTTCACTTTAAAATTCAATATAGTAGAGCTTTATTTATACAATGCTCAATTGTTTAATGGTCATCAGACACTGTTTTTTCTACTTCTATCATTGAGTTTCTTTAGCTTTCTCCAAGTAACAAGTACTCGCCATACACTTTCAATTATTCTGCATTTGAAAAATCCATCCTAGCGTTCTGTCGCAAATCATCATGTGAATGAACCTCTGCCACACTTACACACTACAGTAAAAAAAAAAAAAATCAGACAAAATACATTGCATCAGGATTGCCAACCTTTTTCTTTGTCCACTCTGATGACTACAACTGGCTCTGTTTTGCCGACTCGGATGAGCTTGTTTATTGATCGGATACGTCTTCTCGACAACTCAGATAACAGGATCATACCCTCTATGTTATTATATTCTAGCAGATGCACGTATGCACCCATTTCTGCTATACTTCGGACATTTACCATGACCACATCTTCCACTTCTGGATACCTCTCGGCATAAAACCGACACGACAACGGCATTTTCACTGAAACAGGAAGCATTATAAATTTATTACACCTGCTGATGGGCAGTAGAATTGAATTGGTTCCTTCCTGAGTTTTTCACTTTGCAATAATCTGTTGGAAGGCTTGATTACTGAAAGGGGGAAAAGGTATTTCATCAAATAAGCTAGCAATTAATAATCACACAGATTAAATCAACAATTAAACTGAAGATGATAAAGGGAGTGAATTTTTTGACACTTAAGTAACAAAAAATGGCAAAAACAGAGCCTAACAATTCAGATAGTTTGGAAATTTACTTGTTCTATAAGCACGTACAAACCATTGTGTAGCTTACGTCTAGTTCCTCATGATAAGTTTGGGTAGTGGTATCAAGATAATGGAGTAATCGCAGATCAAAATGTCGCCTAGTTGGTAAATCCAATCAATTATGAGAATTATGCTGGCCGTAATAGGAGAGAAAATAGAGATTTATGTGGATCAATGTAAGCAAGGCACTAGAGTTGACTTTACAGTCATAATTTAAAATATAGCTGAAAGAAACCATCGGTTGATCTCGGTGTCAATCCAGGGAACATGCCAAAATTTTCGAGTGCAACATCGATGAAGTTACTAACAGGGTGGCACTTCAATTGAAGAGCAGTACTGAGAGCAGATAATGATAGGAGAGATAATCATTGAAGCCCTTTATCAAAGCATTCGCTATCCGGAAAATGTTGCACACAAAACACATTATGTCTCTATGAAATTAGAGCCTTGTCTAGGGTTTGGTCCCACCTATCAGAACTCTGTCCACAACAATGCAAATAGGTAACAAATTTAAACCCGTGCGAAAACTTAAAAAGCAATAGTGAGTTCTAATTTGACTGGTTTATATCGCCGAGAGAAGTTGAAATCCAAAAGGACAGATCTGAAATATGATGAAACATATGCAGGCGGGCCAAGTGACAACACATTGGCTCTGAAGATAAGGACAATAATTGCTGAAAGCCGGGCGACTTACCTGAGTGTATGTAACTTTAAAGACAAACTGAGAGAGCTACCCTGGTTAAAAGAACCTGATGTAATGTTTTAACACTTTAGATCCATTTACGGCACTGAAGTATCAGGAGAAATTGACTAACTATTAAAAAATTGTCAACGAGAGCGGAATTGGGGAAAAGTGAGGTTAGTATTAAATTCCTACTGCTGATGCATGGGGATCAACGACTGTTTTATGATGGAACTTCGGACGGTAGTCAAAACAGTCAAAAAGAGCACCAATCGCCCGCGAGATTCAAAAAAGCGCACCCAAAACTGGTACGCGGCTTAGGTTGAACTTAATTTGCTTATACATTCGTGGCACATCCGAACATAATTTTCATTTTGTGCCAAGAAATTTGCAAAACTCTTATTTTATTGTTCTAAAACTCGTGTTAATAATTTATTTATAGGTATTTCGTCGAGATATTTCGACGGCGTAAGTCCGCAACCGCATATATCTCGATCGCGGTGTTGGAAAATCTCCGCCTCTATATTATTTCTTAGACGGAGAACAAATTGACATCATTCTTTAAAGTTTGTGCAGAATTTTCTTCGGTCATGGAAGAAAAATCACGGCAGTTTTAAAGAATTGCCGTTGAGTAATTTTCGGTTTAAAAAATAAAGTAGGTATGACAGGAAATCTGAGACGTCGCAAACCGAAATACGTGGTCAGGGCCGGATTTTAGGGGCGGCAAATTTTGCAATTTTTTTAAATGTAGGTATAAAAAAAACGGACTTAGAATAAAATACAAACGAGAAAAGGCGACAAAATCCCTTATTTCCTGAGATATTTCTAATTTTGTCGTCTTTCGGTGGTACAAGAGGCAGCACCTTTAACTAGTCGAGTTCAGAGAGAAACCAATCACGCAATTTGGCCTGGAGCTGCGCGGCGCATTGAGAGCAATGATGACGAGGACTTGAGATGAAAAAGAGAAGCCTCGGCGCAGCGGTCTGCATGTAACATATATTAGCGCCTACAAGACTGCATGAATACTTCACGCATTGCGTCTGGTCAAACACAGTCCGTTACTCCGTTAAGCAGCGGTCTGCTCGAAACGCATAGCGCCTACAAGACTGTAGGAATACTTCACGCATTGCGCCAAACACAGTGCGGTCAGCGCTGCGCGGCGGCGGCGGTTAATTATCAAGCCACGTTTATGTTTGTTCTTTCATAATTTTTTCGTTTATTTCTTGTAAATGGAAGGCCTTTGTCTACACAGAGATGGGTTTACGGAACTTAACTTTCGCTAGTAGTGTTGACAGGGCTTTCGCAAAAAATGTGTCCAACACTAGTAAACGCGTCTTATGCACCCCTTTTCCTTCGGCGAGTTTACTTCATGATTTTTATTGATGTTCCAAAACGAATGAGAATGGGGCGGCAAAATACAAGCGGCCCATGCATGGGCGGCAAGTACCTATGTAAATCCGGTCCTGTGCGTGGTTGCAGACTTACCCCGTCAATTTGTAGAACTCGTTGATAAAAGATGCGATATTCCCTAGATGTTGGCATGCACTACAGGGAAAAAATAAAGTAAAAAGAAATCCCTCTCTTGTTCACATTTGTGATTTGATCACTCAATGCCGATTTTAAACTATTAGCAGCCAGTTGACAATGGAAATACCAATTCGATGGTGAAACTACCAAACCACATTTCTCATTTGCGGTGTTCAAAAGTCTCCACTTCTATTCATTTTTCTAAAAGAGAACAAATCAAAACCATTCAAGTTTTTCCAGAATTTGCTGTACCTACACAAGGAAGAAGAATCACGAAAGTTTTCAAAAATTGACGGTGGAAGCTCTCCATTTAAAAAATAAAGTGTGACAGAAAGTCTGCAGCGTCGCAAACCGAGATACGCGAGGTTTGGTAGCTTCACCATCGAATTGCAACTTACCGATATATATTTTTATTGCAATGCATTTCAATAAGAGGAGCGCCTTCAGTTAGTAGACAGGCAACATGCACAACATTCCGATGCAGCAGGTGAATTATTATCAATGAACGCCGGAGTACAGGTAGGTACCTAGGTAGAACTCACAAAACAAATTCGAACATTCGAGAGTTGCCAAATTTCCTTCGATAAAATGTTCATTTCCGAGGAAGCTTATGAATATTTTCCCTTGAAATTTTCAGGACTTTTCGGTGAAATTGCGAGCATAATTATCTAAAAAAATTTAAAGAAAAATATTCATAAGTTTACCGAGAAATTCGCGCATTATCAAGGGAAATTTGGCAATGCCTGAAGGCTCATACGGCGCACGGTGGATCGAGTCATAGGGCAGGCCGGACATGGCACATCACGCGACTTGGTTTGCTCATTTACGTAGTGTTTGCGCTCATAAAACAAATCAGGATATATGTTTCTTAAGTATTTTTCGTCGCAGATTTCATTTTTGATGACTATTTTCCTGATTATTGGGTTTAGATATGTATTTTGGCACAATTTCAGATAAATAAAGAGATATTGTTTAACAACAGATAAGTTTAAACTTTCTACACTCATTTCAATCGAAGTTTTAAGTGTTCAATGAACTTTTCTCTCCGGTAAAATGTTTAAATATCGTATATAAAACGTACATTACTCATCTCTTTTACCATTTACCCTCCTCTCCCCCAAAAAATGAATTGATAGAAATCCGAAAATGTTGAGAGGAAAACAGAGGATCTCCTTTCCCCTTCATTCCTGGGGCACCTTTTTAGCTTTCTAACAAAAGAAAATGACAAGGGGGAAAAATATGAGAGAAAAATACAAATCAAATACACATCAATCAACACAAAAAATCATGTATTATCCGAGCCTTCCTAATTAAGGGCCCCGCGAGTCACCATTGTACACTGCCTTTATTTATACTTAGGTATCTAATGGAGCTTCTTCGGCTTAATGATTGCTGCTGAAGCTCGAATTACCTCAATTTTCTCTATTAACTTCTAATTTTCCGAAGAAATTAAACATAAAAAAAAAAAAAAAAAAAATCCGATGTCAAAAAACACGAGTTTTTGGGAAATAGTTAGAAGATAGAAAAGAATTTAGGCCATTGTTGACTTTAGAATCAAATAGTAGATGAAAAATGCTCCATTAGACCCCAACTTGATATAATTTTCCCGTCTTTTTAGACGCAAAACAAACGGATCAGTATCATATGCGTCGATTAGGACATTTGAGAGGAAAACCCCGTTATCTGAAACAACGAAGACATTTTTTTAACCACGCAAGGCATGTTTTCTCATGTATTTTTGTCTCCTGGATTCGAAAATGACCTTGGTTTCTCTTTACCATGCACCAGTTTTCCGGAAAATCACATTTCCCGAAAAGTCCATTTTAGGTGGAAAATCTCAATTTTCCGGAAAATCGGTGGGTGTTGGAGAAAAACCAAGGTCATTTTCGGACTCAGCACTAAAAATTACATACAAATCACCTATCAAATGCCCGGTGTTTCTTCGCCACAGACCTGTGAAATTTGAATTCTCTCGAGCCACCATTTTATGAACTTCACTTTTTCAAAATCATTTAAGCTTTATTCCCAAAAGGGCACTTTGGGGCAGCCAATTTTTCTTGATAATGAATCTTCAGGGATCAGTTAACACTGCTATACAAAGGTTTCCCTGAAATACGCTGAAATAGCTAGTTAAAAGTCTAGCTATATTATTATTTTTACGGTATTGAGGAGGGTACTTTTAAGCAAGAATACCGCTTATAAAATAGCGATATCTTAACTTGTTATCAGTGAAATATATTCTACTTAAAGAGGAGAACAAGCTACTTTAGTCAGAAATTGTCATAAATCTATCGGAGGGAAATACCAACAGGCGCCCGGTTTGTCCCGAGTGAGGCAACATGTTTCGAGTGCCGCCTGAGCCACTTTAGGAGGCTGTGTGCGTTAAACTGGGGTTAAAAAATTGAAAACCAATACCTGTATCATAAAATATAACTCTTTGGGAAGACATTTACATCAATGAAATGACTATTTGTGAGAATCGCCCATGTCCGACTTTTTGCAGGTTTCGATCCACCGTGCGGCGTTAGTCCTTAGCACGGCAGTATTCCACCTCGACGGTGTTAGTATGGGTTTGCAACCACGTATCTCGTTTGCGTTATTTCAAAATTTCCGCTCCTTTTATATTTTTGTTAAGGAGAACAAATCGACATCATTACTTGAAGTTTTCGCACAGAGTAAAAGAATCACATCAGTTTTTGCGAACTGCCCTTGAGTAGTTTTCCATTTAAAAAATAAAGAATGATGGTAAGTCTGCGACTTCGCAAACAGAGATACGTGGTTGAGGTTGCAGACGTGTGACACGTTGCAACGTTACGATGGAATTAAGCCTCTATGGCTCTGACCCCTTCAACTAGACTAGAACTGCGGGATTGTGACATTGTGGTGAGTGGTGACTGTGGCCACCCGAACCGTGATTTCATTCATGGATCAGGAGCGTGGTCTTCTACGTTGAACGGCATGCAGTATTAGAGAGGTAGGAACCCCCCCCCCCTCCCCATTTCACTTTTTTTTCTCCAATTAACTATAATATGTGTCTCCATTCCCTCAACTAGTGCAAGCTCTAGTTACTAGCTTCATTGCTCATACATGTGGGTGATGGTTTACTTGGTATTTTCACTTTCTATCTCAGGTTTTTCTGTCGAAATCATGAGCATGAGATTTCTCATAATCGACAGCTATGAACAAGAAAAATGCGATCGGAAACTAACGTTTCTCGAGTGGAAAAGCGAAATGTCTATACACAAGTAGCATTTTATATGCCTCGACGCAAACGCAACATACGTAAATATTGAAATAGGGTTGCAATTTAATGCGATGAAACTGCAATTTTCTTTATCATCATATTATTGCAAAATTTTTAAATGGGTAATTTGGCCAATACAGTTCAAAGATTAATACAAAGTTTTCCATGTTTCAGGAAAATATGAATTTTTTTCTTTCTTTTTTTTAAGGAATTGTATTTAAATGTAACGTAACTACTACAAGTATTTCCTTAACATGTTCCCCTTGACAGTTTTCCTTTATCTACATGGTTTGAGACTAAAATATGAATTTTCAATGCGAAGAAAAATCGCAATGCTTATTTCAATTTACTACGATTTTGAATTCGAGCCCCTTCATTTCTGAAAGATGCAACATATTATACAACACACCAACGGAGCGACATTACGATGAAATCTCAATTTATTGCGACTTGAGCAACTAAGTGGGAGCTGGAGTCTTGTCAGTGATGCACGGTCACTGCTAATTTTGTACACGTTCTCTTTCAAAAAAAGTGGCATGAGTAAGGAAATTTTCGCCTTGCGAAGAAAGGCTGAGGAAAGTGCGGCGCCATAAAGACACGTATGGCACGGGGAAAGAGTGTATATTTACTTGGATATCTTACATAGTTTTCCGATGTATTATTCTTCTTCCTCCTACGTCTTTTCAGCGATACCTGAAATTTTCTACTTTATATTTGTTAAAGTTAGAACTATAACGCAACATTTAAGCTAAAATTCACTGTCGGAGATTTGAATATGTGGCTCATTTAGACCACTTTTTGCAACAGAGGCGGATCAGCAATTTGGCAACATCGGATTTCCTCCATTTAAACCTATGCTGTATAATCGATTCTTGTCGGAGCACCTGGCCTGGCTCCTCTAAGAATCGATACATTTCCATAGGTTTTAATGGAGAAAATCCGGTGTTGCTAAGTTGCTGGATCCGCCGATGAACTAAAGGTACATACCTACTACGTTATCCGTGTTATCACCTATACCTGTATGGAAAAACTATCAGCACATATCGGGGGCATGGAGGGTAAGGCGCAAAAGTCCGATTTTGCTATTTCAAGAAAAACGTATTTAAAGTTTCAAAATTACAAGGAGCTTTGTGGCGGGAAGAAAGATCAAACTCACTTTAAGATGGGAGTGAATTATATATGTAGGTATAATTAAAGACTATTCCTAGTTAAAAGCATTAATACCTATCTCAATTTTCTTCAAAAACTGCGCCTTGACCTTCCAGCCCCTCGTGCGTTGTTTCTAAAATAATCCAGACATGTTTATTCCTTTACTGCAAGATGCTGCTCATTTACGGTTCGACCATTGGCCAAAATGTTGCGCTCTCTCAGCCTGAGTCTCCGTATTAACCCGAGAGAATATTGACAGTCGCCGATAAAGTAATAATCATTCGAATTTGAAAAACCAAGAAGGGGGAGGGTGTTGTAGTTACTGCAGTCCAAACCACAAAGACATGAACCGTGCAATCATGGTCACGGTACTCGATCGCTACCCAATGCTCGATATTCGAATCATTATAAAAGCTCTGGAGACAGAGCATGACGGATCATGTGCGATGTGTCATTCAAGTTGAGTGCTTCAAATTTTTAACTTAGAACGCTCTTTTTCCGTGTCCGTCGACGTGAAGAATCGTTTTCCAGTGTGCCATATACTTATACCTACGTGACAAAATGTTCGGAATTTTGGTAATTACTTATTTATTTATGTGACTTTTGATTCAATATTATGGGCGTGCTATCGACACTTCCATCACGGGTGATCCGTCTTTCAGAGAAAATTGAGCTGCACAAGATCTTTATTGCCTTGACGTCAAGTTGTTTTGGACTACATTTTGCAATCAGAAACTACACTTCTTGGCTCAATTTAGAAACATAACGAATGTACCATCAGTTTCCGCGGGCACATACGTGTTTTTACAAATGAGGTAGGCATTATAGTTCCTAAATTGCAAAATGCAGTCTATGTAGGCATGCAGAGCTCAAGCGGGACCAGCTGATTCGCCTAGGAACACTGGTGCACGCATGAATGTGAGCCGTTTCAAACTTCTGTCAAGTTCAATACTGCCATGCTAAGGACGAACGCCTGCTGAATTTAATTTGAAAGAACACGAATTTTTAGGAAAATTTGTGAATATTTTTCTTCAGTTTTTCAGAAAATTTCGTTGATGATGTGAGCTAATTATTCTGAGAATTTCAAAAGAAAACATGTAGAACTCGCCTTGAAAATGAAAGTTTCATGAGAGGGAACCTATTGGGAACCCTCGAATATATCCTGCGTTTTTCCTTAGCAATTAGCAGCATTAATTTATGGTAGAACTATGCATTCTTTTGGTTCGACTGCTAATTGCAGATGCAGATGTCATATACTGAAGGAGCGCCGACTTTTATTACGTTCATAAGCAGCAATTCGTTTTCAAGGGTTGTGTGTTGCATAGGCTAAAAATCGAAGGCGAACTGATTTACGTGCTTATTATTATATCTGCTTATTCTTCCGGCATCTATAAAAATTCGTTGAAACCTATTTATCCAAAATGTTTCACAGTCGCTTGTCGACAAAATCAAGTACCTATATTCTACCTATAGACAAAAAATTCTACAACATCCTAAGGTCTTCAGCATTTTTAGCTTGACCTTTACTTAAGTTACTGTTTTGTGTTAGTTGACGAAATGTCCGAGAAACCATGATAATGCCCAGGAAGAGCATGTTTTGAAGGGGTGAGAAGCATCAATGTTTTCTTGCATTGCAACGTTTCAAAGTTTCACCTCATACTCAACTTATTTTTCATAATGAAATTCAAATTCATAATGAAACGAAAGAATGTGCTACATGTGAAAATTTTCTTTAAATCGGAGAATAAATTTACACATTTCTATTATAAATTTTCAGCCTCTCTTAGGTAAAAGAATAGGTCGTCGCACATGAAGGTTTCAGGACAATTTGTCAACGATTTTTGTCCGCGCACCTTATTCTTTGTCCAGTAGTTTACGCCCACACGTAAAATAAGCAACAGTGACTTAGTCCAAGCGTTATATTTTAGTTGGAATGTAAAATTTTATTGACAATATGAAATTGAGAGAGGAGGAGGTGTTGTTATGGTTGTTCATTTTCTAAATAAAATGTTACTTTACTTTCTCCTTTTGATTCATCTTTTTAAATTGTCATTGGTGAATATATGGTTTTATTTCTATCCTTAAAATAAGTATTCGATTTGCAATATACCTCACATATGTACAGGTACTTTTTTTTTATTTTTAAACATTTTTTTTACGAAAGTATTACTTCATTTTGTAAACATTTATATTTTTAAAACGTGACAAATATTTGTAAAACCTTTTCCAAGCAATGGCATTGATATTAATCTCAATGAGCCGCAGTTGTGCCGAAAGAAACTGCAAACATGAATAAAAGAGGGAAAAAACCAAGAGGCACGCAATCTTTACTTTTAACCCATTTGTACATCGATCTTTTAGAATCAAATACGTCAAATTTTGAGCGTTTGGTTGGGCGTACACCTCGCTGCAGCACAGTAAAAGCACAAAATGTAAAATAAAAAATTAAAGTGCTTGGAAATCATTAAATTTGACACGGAACCACCAATATTTAAAAAACACGTTATGTTATTACTCTCCTTTGATAAATTGATACTGGTTTTTTTTCATCAATAATTGAAATGAGATTAATCAATGCAGAGTGTGCAAACATTTCAAAAACATCAGTTAAAAAACGCTGACTATGCGAGTATAAATAGTAGAGCCTAACAGAGCGGAGCGGCGCGGCGTGCTGCCAGCGTGAGAGGCTCACTGGCGCCTACAAACCTAAGTGGATACTTCTCGCATTGCACAATGCTTGAAGTATCCACTTAGGTTTGTGGGCGCCAATGCGCGTTTCGCGCTGACCGCCCGCCCACCGTGCGACGGCGCCTGAAGCAACTATTTCACAACAGCGGTGTTGCACAGTATTTTACGAAATTGAACGTATTAAGAATGACAGGTAGCCTTTAAAAGTACAAATGTTTCAAATGTACAAATGGAATTGACGCTCCCTCATTTTTACCAAAAATCTCAATTATGTATTATTCTCCGTTGGATCAAACAACCCCAAAAAAAAAAAAAAAAAATAAGCAATCCCTTATTTTTCCTAGACATTACACATTTTCATCCAAAAACTTCGTGAGCAATTGTCGTTTGTATTTACATGTGGACCAATTTATTAACTTTGGGTCTCAACTGGCACGTGGACCAAAACCTCCGTTCCGAAAATACGCGCAGACGAAAATTACTGGGAAAAACAGGCGCGCGGACAAAAAATCGTTGACGAAATGTCCTATAACCCACATGAAACGTTGCAAAGTTTCAATGGAAGTAAGCTCTGTTTGTTCTCAACTTAAATTGGACTACATTTTACGATTATAGGAACTACAATTACTGGCTCAGTCTAGAAATGAGGCACGCAACATTAGTTTCCCATTGCCTAAACGTGTTTTTACGGATGAGCTAGCTATTGTGGTTCCGCATTGCAAAATATAGCCCAAAACTTACATTGCTAGATCTTTTGGAATAACCGTGTACTTCAAGTTGCGACGCCTCTACTATACCTATCGACGGTGTAAGTCCGCGACCACGTATCTCGTTTGCGGTGTTTGAAAATCTCCGCTCCTTTATTATTTGTTTACAAGAGAACAAATCGGCATCATTCCTTGAGGTTTTTGCAGAACTTTCTTCGCACTGTGAAGAAAAATCACGGCAGCGTTAAAGCATCACCGTTGAGTGATTTTCCATTTAAAAAATAAAGTATGACAGGAAGTCTGCGACGTCGCAAACCGAGGTACGTGGTTGCGGACTTACACCGTCCACATTTAGGTTCAAATACTTTCATTACATTACATTGCATACATGTTTCAGATTCTAGTTGGAAGCTCCCTTATCGCAGGTACGACAGCACAAGCGCACAGGTACCCAGCCGGTGTGGACCCGGCTTCGTGTCCAAACTACCCCCTCTGCGACAGAGCTTTCGTCCCCGCTCACACGAGCAGCGACCGACAAGCCGCGGGCACAGCGATGTCTCTTCTGCAAATCCACGAGGGCGGCGGCCATGCTCCTTTCTACTCCTCGCCGGGATTCTTCGGGCCGCAGGCAGCTCCTGGTTACCCGGTCGGTCTGTCGCCATCCGCTTGTCCCAACTACCCCTACTGCAGCCACCACATCCCTCACGCAGTACATTACAATCATGGCTACGCGGGGGCGAGAAGTTACCCTGCGGGGGTCAGCGCTCACCATTGTCCAAATTACCCCTTCTGTCATTGACGTGATTTGATACCAACGATAATAACTCGAGGCTGTTGGATGTGTGCGTGTGTTGTAACTATATTTGACACTCATCAAGGTCTTGAAACATGATCAAATTCCCGACCCAATTACTATCAAAGTGTCGGGAGTCATTAGTCTTAAAATCGTTACTTTGCTAAATTTTAAAATGAAAACTTGACAGAAATGTTCCGTGTGGCAAGAAATGAGGAATGGTGGTGCTCCATTCTGATCAAAATTTGACGGCCCGTCCAATTTTCCGGAAACATTTCTGCCAAGTTTTCATGGGTCAAAGTCAAAATTGGACGGGCCGTCAAATTTTGATCCGAGAAGACAGGTGTGCATGGTGACCATCAGTCATCAACCGGTGTGCTTTGATCAGAGTTGGTTCGGGATTTGATCGTGTAGGTATCCAGACCTTTAAAAAAAAAAATCACAATCTCAACTGTTGACTTGCATGAATCTCCATTGCTTGACAGTGTCTCTTAAAGTGGGTTTCGAGTTTAACATCGGAGAAACTCTAGCGAGCAAGTAAAAAACTGAGTTCTATGATTAAAAGTTTGTCCAATTATGAAATACTTAATGCTTATTTTAGATGTCACGTATAGGTAACTGATTGCAGATAAGATTGTAAGAAAAAACCAACCTTTGTCTTTCATTGGGTGAATAAAAATAAACCACCTAGATAATTAATCAATGTCTCACAATCATTCCATTATTTTAAGAGATTTGGTATTGATAATGATTAAGATTTGTAAAACAAACAAAAAAATTGATCAGAGAGCAATGATGATGAGGACTAGAGATGAAAAGGAGAAGCCCTCAGCGCGGCGCACGGTGAATCGAGTCGATGAGAGAGGTCGGACAAAATTTGGAAACTTTAAACGCTCATAACTCCGTTTAAACAAGAATCTGATGTTCTGCAAACGGTTCCATTAGTTTTCTCGTGAAATTTTCTTCCAGTATCGCCCCTTGAACTTTAAAATGTGACGAAAGAAACATAAACATTTGCAGATTTTGTCAACAATTTCATGTCCGACCTCTCTAATTGACTAAGTCCACTGTGCGGCGGTCGGCATGTAGGTAACACATATTAGCACCTACAAGACTGCATGAATACTTCACGCATTGCGTCAAACACAGTGCGTTCAGCGGCGGTCGGCGTGAAACGCATAGCGCCTACAAGACTGTAGGAATACTTCACGCATTGCGCCAAACACAGTGCGGTCAGCGCGGCCGCGGAAGTTAAAATTATTAAACCACATTTATGTTTGTTTTTGCATAATTTTTACGTTCATTTCTTACAAATGGAAGGCCTTGTCCTCACAGAGATAGGTTTACGGAACTTAACTTCAGCGCAAAGTTCCGTGAACTTTTGCTAGAAGTGCTGACAGGGCTTTCGCAAATAGTGTGCTTAACACGAGTAAACGCGTCTTATACACCCCTCCCCTCCCCCTCTGGCACGTTCACTTGATGGTTTTTATTGATGTTTCGAAACGAATGGGATGGGGGCGGCAAAATACAGACGGCCCATGGGCGGCAAGTAGGTAAATCCGGCCCTGAATGAGGGTGAGTTAATCGGACTTCAGGTTGAAGATGTTGCTTATTTCCAATTGATAGGAATAGTTGCATATTTTTCAACAGAAGTACTTAGTATCCTTTTTGCGGTAGATCGATTACAATTCATGCATTTTTATTTTCAAGTTGCACTAGAGTTTATGCAGGAACTAAAACCAAAATATTGTGATAGAGATAAAATTAAATACTTCATAAGTAAAAGTTCGGTAAGAGGAATTTGATTTGAATTGATTAAAAATTTTCGAGATATAGCGTTCAGAATAAATATAAAGATTTCAGAGGGTGAACAATCATTTATTTACAATCTGTACATTAATTATAAAAAAGTGTAATTTTAAGAGTGATAGAAAAGGCCAAAATATTGATTTTCCACACAGGCTCTGAAATCATCAGTCGATGATTACTAAATTACTAGCCTGTGTTTTCAAGTGAAATGTAATATTTTAAAGGATGACTGACTACAAATAGGTACTTGTATTTTCACAGGGATATTTCACGGCACTTACTTAATTACAAAAAAGGGGAAAAAGATCACACCTCCAGCAGGGTGTGACAGCAAGAAAGTATCACAGCATTTTAAAACCTAATTTGGTTAAAACGATATAAAGAACATTGTATTTAAGAGTCAGAGGTGTTCTGTTCCGTAGGATCAGAACCAATGGCAAAGACGAAAACAAAAACAAAAACTTAAATGGAACACTAAAAATAGACGGATTTGATCAGAATCAGCCTGGCTGCACAGTGCACACGTCAGGGGTGCAGAACGTTCAAGAACTACAGCGATTTCAAAATAGGTAAAATTGCATATCCATAAAATGAAGGAAAATCTCTTTTCGACTGGTTCAGGGACTTTAACGCAGGGGTAGAAAAGTTGGAAGGGGCAAACCGCGCGATACAACTATATCGACTTCAAAGAAGATACAAACAACTACTTGTCTACAAAATCAAGGAGAACATGGTGTTTTCTATCATCCTAATTATTTGGTTCGGAAAATCCAACGTTTAGTTCGCGTAGGTAACCAAACGTTCGGTTCGTATTACCGAACTTATGAGCTTAAAACGCATGAATATGAAGTTCGGTTACATGAACCAAACGTTCGATTGCATAAATAAAAAAAATAGGTTTTATTCTAAAGAATGAACGCTCAACGCACTGATTTTCACGAAATTTGTGACAATGATGTTGACATGCTACAAATCAAGTGCGAAATTATTGCATTTTTGAGAAAATTAATTACTACATAAACGTTGAATTTTAAGAAAATCAATGCGACCGCGTTTGATTTTTAGAAAATTACTGCGAACGCGCTACTTTTTGGTGAAAGTCACCGGGAACGCACGATGTCATATAGTGCGGAGGCTGAATTCCTAGTTGCTGGAAACTGCGAGGGTCGAAGAACTTTCTGGACCCCTGGCACACGTTGCACACTTTTAGCTTTTGTTTCATTTTTTGACAGAGCACTGTACGTACACAACTCTTTGGAACTTTTACGTATGTAGAGGTAAGAAAATTACGTACGATTACGTTCTTTACGTACGTAAGTAAAGAGTAAACTCAAGAAAATTTCGAGTCGGGGGGTTGCTCAGTTTTTTGTTAAAAAAATAATTTGTAGGACAAATCAGGCAACATCTGATGAACTTGGGCTGATTCCGGTTGAGCCTCGTGATTTTTCACGTAGAAAAACATGAGGACATTATAATTGAAATGCTTAAAACCCGCCAGAATCATCTAACGATCTAAGAAGGCGAACGTTTAATACAAGGACATATTTTTCCAAGATTCATTTCGTCTATTTTTTAAATCATTGTTCTCTGGTCCAATTAAAGCTCTTGCAACTTTTCCAGTTGGCTCGTGCTTACTCAAGTACTTATTTGCCACGAAGATAACGTCATCTCTTGTTACTTTTAACAAATGCGACCTATGTTGTTGGAACATTTCATCAGTGATACCATGCAAAAACAGGCGCATCCCCCGATTGCTTGGCGGGATCGGTTCATCAATTCTTTGGAAAACGGACAGTTTAGCTTCATCTATATCCTCGTCCGATAAGTTCGAATTCATGAGCCATTCTACTGAATTGTCAAATGCATCAAACGTTGCTACAGAGTTTGGATCTCTGTAAGAATAAAAGCTGATTACTCCTGCAGGAGAGACGTTCACACCAGCTCCGTACGCACCTCCCTTCTCACGAACAACAGGGAGAAGGTACTTAAGAGAGAGGTAATTACACAAAATTCTAAGTTTTGGGAAATCTTCGTGCATGTATGCAACACCTTGCATGGATTTTGAGGCAAAATTCACAGGCACCGGTAAAACATAGTGTAATCCCGGGTTCGGTGCACTTTCTTCCGATCCAGGGGTGTTACAAGAAGGGGGGCTTGTTGGGACAGTTTTGTTTGACAGATTATCTATGAAGTTGTGGGTTGTTTGGACGGCAGTTTTATGACTGTCGTGAGTCATGTTCAAAGCGCACTTTAAATTATGACGGCTGAATAGGACATCTGACAATTGACTTAATTCATTCAAAACTGGCGTCAAATCACCGACACAAATTTTTTTCATTCGATTGATATAACTCAATCCGAACAGCTGCTCTTTGCGGAAAGCTGTGGCGTTCATTTGGCTTGATGCGAGGGATGCAGCATAGACATGACCACTATTGACAATTCCATGTGCTAGATCACCGACGATCATTTTCACCAAGGTTGAAAACCGGGTGAGGTCCTTTAACGTTACTGTGTTCAAAAGTTCAGATAGCAGACCAAACATATCATGCGTGTTTTTATCCAGACAATACATACTAAATGCAACAGCTTCTTCGAAGCGCCCAATATCTGTAACTGATTCTTTGAGGTGCGTATCAAGAGAAATCCCACTAGTTTTTAATTGTAGAAGTTGATCAAATTCTTGGTAGTTATGAGTAGAGGTCCCCATTCGACTTGCAACATTGCAAAACAGTGGGAGTAGAAGTTTCTGAGATTCTGATAAATTTTTGATATCTAGCAAGCCACGGAAGTAAAGTATTCCATTTGTTGGTTGATTTGAAATTTGTATGGGGATCGCCTTATGCTCCTCTGTAGCTATTTGAGTCTTATCAATATTCTTTTTAATGTCAGAGACTTTCAAACTTGGAAGACATGAAAAGTCGTCCTCTCGCTCCTGATAATGCCTCAAATCAAGACCATGCTGATAAACTTTTTTCAATTCTTCCTTTGATAGGGCCGAGACTTTACTTTTTATTAACTCTTTCTCTGCCTCGTTAAGTTTTTTCTCAAAATCTTTGTCCGGTACCATTGTGAGCGTGAGTCGATGCGGGTTATCCTTGAAATACTGTTTGACTTTATCTTGAAGAAACTTAGGATTCTTTTCCAGCTCCTTACAAAAGTGTGAAACACGATCATTGACTCGTAAAGCTCCAAAGATATTCCCATCGTGGTTCCAAACAGGTGTTAGCCCAAACAAGACATTTAGCCCAAAGTTTGCGGACTGATGCTTTATGTTCAGTTCAATCGAGTGCAAAATACTTTTCAGATGAGTTTCGTCAAAACCATTGCTGATGACCTTGTCGACAGTTTCTTCATAGATGCGTAACACTTTTTCAAAACTATCAGGATTCAGTCCTTGCAATCCAACAGCGAATATTGTGTCCTTGGTTTGAGCTTGAAACCCAGTAGCAGAATGGAAACCTGATCCAAGGTTACTTTCTACAAGACTTTTGTAAAAAGCAGAGTTTGGACCTTTCACTAGAAGTTCAGACAAAATCTGTAGGGTGAACACTTCGTTCAGATCAGTTATATCAGCGCACAAAGAGGAGACCACCAAAGAGGACTGTTTGAGAGGCTCTGGTACAGTTTGGTCCTCTCGCCCAAAAATTTGCTTCTCTTTGGGAGAGGTCCAACGAGGTTCTGATGGAACTTTGGTTTTATCTAAAAATGATTGTGGCAAGCTTGTAAACTTGTCCAAGTATTCTCTATTAATGTATTGTAAATGATTCCTTACATCAAAATTACCATACGTGTAGAACCGGGAGTTGGTAGGATGATAATACTGAGAGTGAAACTTTCGTAACTTGTCCAGCGTCAGACTTGGAATAACTAAAGGATCCCCACCAGAATTGACACCATAAGTATGACTGGGCAATAAGGTATTGAGGAGACTCTCTTCAAATATAGTGTTGTTCTCAGACAGACATCCCTTCATTTCATTGTACACAACACCCTTAATTACAATTGGCGAATTGGGGTTATTAATATCTTCATGTTCTAAACGCCACCCTTCTTGACTGAAATCTAGCTCACTAAGTCTTGGCCGGAGAACTGTATCCAGGTACACTGACAAGAGGTTTCCAAAATCTTTTTCATTTTGAGTAGCAAATGGATACATAGTATAGTCAGGCCCTGTCATAGCATTTAAAAATGTTGCCATTGACCGAGAGAGCATCTTAAAAAATACTTCACGGCATGGGAACCGTTCGCTGCCACAAAGTGTGATGTGTTCCAAAATATGTGGCACTCCTGATGAATCGAATGGAGTGGTGCGAAAGTTAAGAGAAAATACGTTATTTGAATCATCTCGGTCCAGATGCAGATACTGGGCATTAGACTTCAAATGCCGTAGTTTTATTGCTGTTAAATTAAAATCGGAGACATCTGTTTTTTCTTCTACCACAAATCCTTCGATTTCTTGGCCTGGTGAAAGTACCTCTTTGTGAGGCTCTCGTTTCTTTTCAGGAGCAGTCTGAAACAACTGGGGTGCTGTGCTGAAGCTATTAGATGGATATTTGAAGTCACTTACATTGGTAATTGGAGATTTAAGAAAAGTTCTGTCGAAGCTGCTTAGCCGCTGGCTTAAGTGGGAGGACGCTCGTCGAAAATGGAACATACTCAATAAATCAAAAGGCAGATCTCTGAAAAAGAATGAAAAAAAAAAAAAATTAAAAGAGTTACATACAGATAAAGGTAGGACATAATCATGATCACTTCATACCAGCTTCCTATGCCCAGCAATATGCTCGAACAGAAAATGACCTTTTGACAGATAGCTTGAGAGAATTAAAACAAAGTTCCGGAAGAGCTGAATATTGTATGAACAGTCACAGGGGCACAAAAAAACATTCAGAGAGCTCGCAAACTGTATGTAGCTCACCTAAGACGTGAGGAAATTCATGAGCTTGAGAGGAATTTTTGTGAGAGAATAAGTCAATTCTATTTTCTTTCTTCCAGTTAAAAGTCACAAAAGCGCAGATTTCTCAATTCCTTCCGCTTAAAATTGGTAGTGAATACTTAAGATGTTTTCATGAAACTAGGAAAAGTTTTGAATTGAGGGGAGTGATTTAGAGCCAGAGATTGCAAAATAGAACTTGCTAAGAACATTAGCCAAATGACTTCTAAGATTTTCGGGTCTACATGGTAGGAACAGAGTCGAACTTCCTTTGAGGTGTGCTACATACAAAGTGAATGGTTTGAGTTCCTGACAGTTATTTGTGGTAGTCACTTTACACTTTCTTTACCTTAAATGCAGGCAGTAGGAGATATTGAAACTGTATTCTTGTGTTTATTTTCACTTCACCCAGACAGTTAAAGGTTGCAAAGAAAACCAAATCAATCGAACAAGAGGGTTAACCTAAAAACATGAGGGAGACCTCTGAGTAAAACTTACTTGAAACAAACTGAATTGATGTGGTATTAGGAAGTAATTGGAAGGAGCCGACAATGTACTACTGGTGACAGCGACTCATAAAGCGAGGCTTAATTGCTAAATTAGATTGAAAATTGTTGATAAGTGATAAGCTCGGCTGGCTCGGCACAAGCATGCACATGCACGGATGTAAACATAAATCAGCTGATTACATCATCTCGCTGTTTTCATGGTTCCCAGTTATAATAACTCAAAATCTACTGAAAGATAATGAGATGAAATTTATGTAATGAGTGTGAGCACCAAAAAAATATTGAATAAGTGATTAAGTACAATAAATATGATTATTTGATGTTTTATCAAAGAATTTGATTCTTTTACACTCTTCAGGTCGCGAATCAACAATTCAATAAATCAACAATAATGTGGTGCTTTTTTTTTCATGTTGTTGAAAGTGATCGCTTGGTTGAAGAAGAAGAATATTTCAAAATCCAAATTTTCTAACGGCCGTTGCTGCTTCCTCAATTCTCTCAATCTTTGATTTATCATCTCACGCTGTGTTCACCGACAATCGGCATTTCATTTTTATATGTATTTCACTTTCTTTGGAGCTTTGAGCTTTTAAATCTACCGTGATCTTTCCTCTCCACCAGCAACCGGAAGACTACCCTGGCTCTCCTCAAGAATCAAGAAAATCTTATATTTTCTTCCTGTCCATCATCTCAGTTTTAGGCCCGTTTGACTGGTCCCAACGTCTAAAATTGGGCTTGTAGTCTTCCATTCTTAGATTAATTTTTCTGTAAGTTACTCTTTATTTGTCTTAATTCCACTTAGTTTCACGTTTGCATACCTGTACAAATCTGAATGCATAAAGTACCCGATTGGTTGAGAGGTACTCCGTGCTCCCACAGGGTATGTCAGAGGTGACTTTTGTCTCAACACCTGGTAAGTGAGCTCTAGGTGATAAATTGGAACGTAAGCTTTTGCAAAAGTGTCGCCGCATTGTAAAGATAAACATGCCATGAGGACATAAGTATCGTCAAGTTGTATGACATACTAACCGGTCCACTGTGGGTCATTTTGAGCAAATATCACAGCTACACTCAACGAACACATTGTGAAAGCATCTCCAGCGCCCCACTGAATCGTACGGAAGAGCAGCAGTGTACAGGTATCAGGAAATAGCTTGGTTTATCGCAACCCTCTGCGGTTCGGATTTTCAGAAGCCCTATCTCAATCCTAACTACCATCTCTACCTCTACTCATGCTTACCAAATGCCACACTCCTATGGCTTTTTTTATGGTACTTATTGAATTTTGTGTTCCATTTGAGACTTTACATCTAGTCTTGTTTGATTTTATATAATTTTAAGTAGATTTTAATCGCAGACACATTAAAATAGCAAGCTAAGACGAGAATTTGAGAACTTACTTAAAAGATGCCGGCGCCTTTTGTGTGAAGAATATTTTCAGATCTCCGGCAATTTTAGCTATATTTAGTGCTCATTTGCCACAAAATATTTCTCTTATGCCTCTGCTCCTTGTTAGCTGTGTTGATGTCATTGCCTATAGGTATCCAAAGCCTCCTTTTCAACTCAGGAATGAGGTATAATGATTTTTACTAGGCAAGGTAATGTAAATTTCTATTCCTTTGATAAGACTACATAATTTTGTGCTCTCAGTTTCAGGTCACCGGTTTTTGATGGCTCAGTTTTCGTTTTTGAATGATCTCAATAGTGCTGTCCGCATGGACGAACCAATCACCAAGGGCCCTGTCCCCAGATGGCAGAAGAAAACTCTGGAACCCAGGTGAGCCTTATGATTGATAGAAGTCTTTGCCACGATCGTTTAGGTTTTAAGAGGTGAAAGCCACTAAGGCTTGGTTGGTCACTTTTTAATTCATTATTAGGTTACTCTTACTCTAGGTTGATTTTATTTCGATTTTCAGAAGATATCGGTTTTTTGCATCAAATAATCGATTAAATTGAATGGATTTTTTTACAAGCAATTTTGCAGCTGAATCAATTTTTTACTTACAAATTGCTCCACTCTAAAGGACAATGAAACTCAACGCTCAGTGAGGCGAGAATTAAAGAAAAAGTAATGGCACAATACTCATCCTTAAAATCGATTTTTTACTCAGCGATTTTCTTGAAAATCGATTTGTCCTATTTTCCTTCTGCGAATAATCAATTTTTTGGACATAATCGACACTTTCGGTTTAATTGATTTTTGGGGGAAAATCAACAACACTAAGTGACTCTTTTACACTCATGAGAAATTTCAATGAAGTACTTATCCAGAAAATTCACTTTAAAATTTGAAATATTTATTTAGAAAATATTACGTAGGTACTTAAATGATTGTGTTATCAAATGAATCTCAACAACGTTGTAAGTTCCTCTGGATTTCAATAACGGCAAGACGTGCTGAAGTCAGTCTTTAAAATGAAACTAAGATTTATTATTTCTTCTCAAGCATTTATCTCTAGACATGAAAGACAATCAAGAGTGTCACCAAAGATAGATGTGGTTTAGTTAAGTATTGTTGCCTCAGCTTGTCGGTCAACTAGTAGTCTTAGAGAAATCAGAATGTAATTTTTCAAAACATGAAAAATAGAGGACCATGAATCTTTGCCAACACCCTCAGTGCCCTCTCCTAAAGTTCAATCCATCAGGACTATAAATCCGTGTTGATAAACTATATTCTGTACTAACTACATTGACCTATTACTCTAAGTCTTGATACTTATATATGAGAGTGCCTTCAACTATCTCCTATTTCTGTATTAAGTAAGTCAATAGAAAATCAAGCCCCTACCAAGACTTGACTCTCAAATGCTCGGTATGTATCGCTTGCTTTGTGAAAAGCAACTTTCTAGTATGCTCTGACATTTAAAACAGGTTTTCTGAAGTAATGAAGTTGGAACGCTGGCTTTACTTGATGTTAGGGATTTGTCCATATGAATTCGGATTTTTCTTCTTTTTTTTTCAGCGGTGGGATCAACTCCAGCTTGAATTTATCGAAAGGGAAAATATCAGCCTCATTCAATGCCAGCTCCTCAGGAATGCCGAAAACACCAAAGCAGAGCGATGCCATGGCCATGAAGAAAACACCATCGAAAACTCCAAAAAAATCACCTGGTAATTCAGTTTAGCCACTCTTATTGATATGTGTGCTTTCCTTTTTTTTAAATTGTCTCAAGCAGAGGCAGGCACTACCTGGTGCGTCATCAAGTCCACGGTCAACTGAAGCAGAACTCAGTAAAAAATTTGCCCACAGAATACACTATTAATGCTGTTGTACTTACATTTTTTATCTTTGTCCATGTGTTTTTCATCATAATTCTGTCAAAGTATCAAATAACTTTTTTTCTACCATTCATGGCGTTACTGCCAACAGTAAATGTAATTTTAGGCTAATTGATGAAGAGATAGCAGCAGCAACACTGCTAGTCACTGTTTGGTCAAAAAGGAAACTTTTTGTCTGTGAACCAAAGGTGGTAAGGAAAAATGCTCACATCATGTAGGTAACTGCTTGGTTAAGTGAGCAATGGTTCCCTTATTGACCAGCATTTTAATTTCTAGTGTGCCGGCAAACATACACTCTATAGGCTTGTGACAATATTCTAATCAACATCTCATAACTTGTATTATGATAAATGAAAGGAAGATTGTCAGAACTGGTAGACATATCTGAATAACAGTAAGAGCTAAGTTCCTACTTATCCTGGTCCTTATAGGCCTCGCATGTCTAGGCTTGACCGTCCCGAGCATTTTCCAGGGGTGTAGAATTTTCCTAACATTCCACATTTTTACCCGCCCGCCGCCGGCTTCCGACATTTTCCTCATCGGCCTTCTTTCGTCAAAATCTCCCACCATAAAAAATGATGACTTTTTTTCTTCGTTTTTTCTGTAATTTTCTTTCATTTGAAAATTCTCTCTTCCGCATTGGTAGGGCCTTTTCAATTTCTCATGCGCTTGTTGGGGCACATAATTAAGCATTTCTGCCTTGAAATTACATACTTAGTTGTGATTAGTTATTATTTCGCCACCTTTATCATTTTGGTCTTGTAACAATGATCCTGTATAAGGCACTAAAAAACCATAATCTTAGTGTAGCTGTAAAGTATATTGTTTTTTAGCTTGAAACACAACCGCACTAATATTTCAATGCCTACAATTTATTTTGCAGGTAAAACACCCTCAAGAACACCAACGCGAACTCCCAGCGGTGGGGATCGATTCATTCCAAGCAGGACTGGAACTAATTTTGAACTTGGACATTACAAGGTATTTCTGGGTATCTTGTCTCATATTTTGTCCATCTATGTCTTGTTTGGACCTACGCAATTATCTCTGTTTCAGATAGTCCTCCGAGTTAACCTTAAAAGTGCTCTCATACTATGTTTATTAATGCAGCAATACCAGAGTGCCTAGAAGTAATTCAGTGCAAGTTTTGGCTCCTTAAAGTTTGTAATATTTCCTAGGGAATCTTGGACTTATAAACTTGGGAAAAAAAACTTAAAAATGTTCTCCAAAATGAAGGATCTCAACTTGATCTGTGAAAAATTCATCATCGAAAAACCAATTTACTGGACAATGTTTTATACTTTGAATCAAAACGTACTCAAATCAAAGAAAAAAATTATGCTTCATCTTTTAAAAAATCGCATGTTTTTAGCCCTCTGAGGGGCCATCTGAATTAAGTTCATACACTTTTAGAGTGCAACAGAAGATCAGGTTTCCTCAATAGTATTGAAAGTAAATGCAAGATTGAAGATGGTGGATTTTCTGCCTCCTTCTTACATGCACATAAACTCTTTGACGTTGACTCTTATCTGCTAGAAATGGTTCCCCTCACAATTATTTTTTGCTTGTAAGATCTTAAAGGTAAGTTCAAAGTAAAAAATTTTTCAGTAAATGCATTCTCATTTTGGAAGAGGTTTAGACTAAAACTAAGGAGATGTCTTATTCTTCATTTATGTTGAGATGCAGAGGTAGTAATGACGCAAATAAATTATAATTTTACAGCTCAATCAACAGGAAAATGAAAGAGAGGATGACGGGTTAAGCCCGGCTCAAAAAGACAATCGCCAAGCCATGAAAGAAACTCTTCACGGTTGTGACATATCTCAAACTAGGATCCTGGCTTTTCAAAAGAAGGCGCCAGCTCCTCCAGAAGTAAGTTTTGTCTTTATCTTCTTTATCAGAATTAGTCCATTAGATTCAGTCTTATTCTTTAGAAGCATTTAACGTTACATGTGTGTTCGCTAATAAAATTTCTATTAAAATCCCATGCTTTGATGAGGAAGGTTGCGTAGCAAAATCTAAACAGTCAAATGAGAGTACATACTCACTTAATATGCTCAAATTTTTTAAAAAATATTCATGTGATTCTAATCCTATTTCACCATCTGCTTATTTCAATGTACTGCTCATCTGTATTTATGTTTTTTTTTCTTCTTCTTTTTTCATGGAGTTATTTCTACTAACTGATCACTGAAATTTGAAGTATGCCGGGCGGACATACATGACAAAGGTGGGATGACATAGTGAAATTGGCCGGTTATGTCTTATCGCGGCTCTGTTGTCCTTATGTTAGGTAGAATTGACAACATGGTATCAAGAACTCAGGTGGTGGTTTTAGCTTATCGTCAATTCCACCTGACTTAAGCACGACATAGCCATTCACTCTACTCCTTTTCACATCTTTCATCCATGTCCGCCGGATAAACTTTAAATTTCAATAATCGGCGTCGCTGAACTTTTTTTTTCAAGCAACATCTCTCGAAACAAGGTATATGCAGTAGACTTTTTCCAGATTAACTTTGAATTGTTTACATTTTTGTAAATTTTTGTACCTGTGGTCTTTCAACCATCTCAATTTTTTTTTTTCAGGGTTATGTAAATCCATTAAAAGTTCTCTACAGTCAGTCTAAAACTCCCATGTCGGCCAAAGCGACTAGCAGATACATACCGCATGCACCAGATAGAATTCTAGACGCCCCTGAAATTGTTGATGATTACTGTAAGTATTACAATAAGGTAACTTCCATGTAGATGAATAGGAAGCATGTGATTGTACTCTCCTCACCAGGAAATATTTGCCAGGAAAAGTCCTCAATTCCTCATGAATTGTGAGCATTTTTTATGTTTAACTCATTGTCAGGGTTGCTGGACATCTAGAAAACTGAAATTGTCAGAGAATTTGTGGCAACTGGGAAAAGGCGAAGAAAGCCTGGGAATCTGACACATCTACTAGTCACTCTAACATATCACTGATTTTAAAACTTTGTACCCTTCCTGGTCATTCTTAAAGAATGTCATCTCTTAACCAGCTACCAAATGTCTTTCTCCATAATTTGATTTCGAAACAGGGGAATTTAGTCCAAAATTGATCAAAAGTTGGGTAAGAATTAAAAAAATTACTAAAGAAATAAAATGAAAAAAAGGTGGTAATTTTGTTCAAAGGTCAGGGAAAGTCAGGGGATTGGAAACTCTTAGAGTCAAAGAAAAGCAGGAGAGTCAAAAAATTTGAATATGATACCAACCCTGCATCAAAAAGATCCTAAATCTCTTAACAATTAATCTCAATTACGATACATATCAATTCTCTTATGTGTCGATTTTTTTCTGTCCAGATTTGAATTTAATCGATTGGAGTTCAACCAATATCTTAGCAGTTGCTTTAGGAAACAGTGTGTATCTATGGAATGCTGCCACCGGTAATATAGATCAGTTACTGGAATTGGAAGGTCAAGACTATGTTTCCTCATTGAATTGGATTCAAGAAGGGAATTTACTGGCAGTCGGAACAAGTTTAGGTTGCGTTCAGGTTTGTACGCCTTATAGTTAAAAAGAAAAGAAATTTTTGACAGTTATTTCAGGTCCTAAAGAAAATACAATCTTCTTTGAATAAAATAATTTTACAATAATTATTAAATCAAATTTTTAAATGTTACTTACTTTGAATAATGTAGAAATGATTAAGATTACTTACTTTAGTACTTTGTTGTTCTGCATTAAAGGTTGCTGAAACTACTTGCTTTTTCTTTCTTTCTTTTCTTGTTCGCAGCGATTGGTATTGGCCATTGATATTCGTAAATTGCATTGGTAAACATCTTTCTCTTCAGCAGAAAATCGTAATGAAATTTCTGGTTTTCAAGAATTTCCTCTTGTTTTCAGCTACTCTAATTTTGTGTTTTTCTTTCAATAGTTGTGGGATGCGACTCAAAACAAACGGTTGCGTCTGATGGATGGACATGCTCAGCGAGTCGCATCATTATCATGGAACACCTTCATTTTATCCAGTGGATCTCGCACCGGTCAGATCATCCATCATGATGTGAGACAAAGGGAACACCAAGTAGCCTTGTTATCCAGTCACACTCAAGAGGTAAAATTTATTAGTTTGTATCCTGAAATTGAATCAAGGAGGTGAAAAAAAATGAACTCATAATCACCCTGTAATAACGTAAGAACCAAGCACATTTTCATTTACACCAAACAAGTCTATCTTAAAAAGACATGAACAGTCCCAAATGATTTTGGCTTTTAAGGGAGTATTGAGTGGTTTGTATGAATGTTCCTTGTTTTATACTCTATGGAAGCACTTTGACCACTAGCGATTTTAAAGGACTCTCCGTGTAACTTTTGTAAATCATTTTACCTTTTGTATTTATCAAAAAAAAAAAAAAAAAGGTGACAAACTCTAAAAGCTGTAATATACTCCTCTCTCTGTTCAAGCTTTAGAATAAGTTTGTAAATTTCTCCTTATTTGATTTTTACTGCAATTGTAAAAACTTGCTTTGCCTTGCTTTTCTGAAAGCTAAAAATTAATTGATGAGAATTAATTTAAAATCCACTTGCAAAAGCTAGCACTGGAATAAATATGTGTTCGTAAAGTTAAAATATTGATGGCCAAAGTTCGAAACCACGTATCTTTATTGTGGTGTAAAGGAACAATCCAACTTCATAGCTTGAAATTGATGCAGAATGTTCTGCTAGCAGAGAAAAAAATTAAAAGAAGTTTTCCAGAAATGGCGTTGACTAGTTTTCGATGAAAAAAATTATGTATAACAGGTAGTCTCCAACGCAGCAAACGGAGGTATGTGGTTTCAGACTTTGGTCATTGACATGAATCTTTTTTAAAATTTGATCTTGTGAGTTTCAATTGGACTCACTAAGTGTACAAGACCCCGCACACTCCTTCTGGAAAAGTGTGCCCTGTTCAATCTCCAATTTTTTATTATCATCGTGTCAACTTTCTACCAAGCACTGTTTTCGCACAATCCACGAAGGAGTTTTGATAATTCCTTGAATAAAAGGAGACTGCGCGGCAATAAAGATTTATAGAGCTCCTTATTTTAGCACTTAGAATATGGTCAGTTGTGCCATAACAAGAAAATCAGGAAAACCGCAGACAGTCTTATCTGGGATTTGGCACACCTTTTCGCTTGACCATCCGAATCAGCTTCTCTCTCCCACTTTCCCCTTTACCTCTCATCAGCTGAGTTTCTCCAACATCTAGAACGTTTTCAATTGTTAGAAGTAAGAGGGGTCTCTTTACTTTCTCGCCGCTGTGCCTCCTTTTATTCAAGGAATCATCAAAACGTCTACCGCAGATTGTGCGAAAACGGTAGCTCATAGAAAGTTGGCGCAATGGTGACTTTTGATCAGCATCTATAGACGAGTTTAGTGCATTACAAAAAATTGGAAATCAAGCGGGGTACATTTGTCCATAAGGAGTGTGCGGGGTCCTTTATGCTGTTTTATCTTGATCTCAATGAAATGTATTTACCCCCTGAATGTTTGTTATTATCAGGTTTGTGGACTTAAATGGTCACCAGATGGGAAGTATCTAGCTAGTGGTGGCAATGATAACATGTTGTATATCTGGTCAGGCATTCCTGGTCAAGCTTCATATCAAACAACACCACTTTATAGTTTAAGGTAATATGTCTGATTTGGCAAACTTTCAAGTTTTATGAGCAGTGGTGTGGCGTGCTTCGATATTTAGCAATATTTCCCCATTTGAAGCTATTTCTGGTTCTAGACCAGTTCTGTGAAACGGGATCTAATCTTCTAGGAAGAAAAAGAAAATTTTTCCTCAACTTTTTCGAAACATTAAACAACGGAATTTTTCCACGGTTTTTCTTCCACCTAAGGACTCAAATCTTCCTTAATATCAGCTTTCAGAATCAAACTTCCGTCAAATTTTCTAGATTTTCCTCCTCCATGCATTTGGGAAATGTTGAGGAAAATTTCCTCCCAGATGATGAGGTCCTTTTTCACAGATCTGGTCCTATATTTGTGCCTACATGTCATTTTCAAATTGGTGATGATTGGTGATGATTTCAAATAATTTTTATTTTTTTGCATTCAAGGATAAATACTTCCAACAATTCACTCAATATTCATCCATCTTTTAACAGTCTCATTCTGTTCCTTTCATCAGGAATTTCGTCAGTTCTATAAATATCATAAAATTATGAAGCCTTCTCTCTGCCTTAGTCAATGAAGAGTTAACTTGCGAGATCACAACTAACACCTACTTTGTTTCTTATGCTGTCTCTTACGATTTATACTTGCTGGTCAATTTTTTCTTGAAACTTGAACAAACTTGAAACATTTTGGCTTTTATTTCAGTGCTCATCAAGCAGCGGTAAAGGCATTAGCTTGGTGTCCATGGGCCCCGCACATCCTGGCCAGTGGTGGTGGCACGGCTGATAGACACATCCGATTCTGGAATTGCAATATAGGCTCTTGTTTCAACTCCATCGATACCAAGTCTCAGGTATGCTTGAGCTGAATGGTTTGTTTTTAGTTATGATGTATTTTCTTCTTTAATTTGAATGAATGTCTTAGAAATTGATAAGAAGATGTAAAGCAATAGACTGGATAAGCGCTTTTCTTGATCAAAGTTAGGGTGTTTACAAGTCTCTAAAAGTCAGTCATTTTTAGGGTAGCTTTAATTATAATGCAGGAGAAATTTCAGAAATGTGCCTCAAAAGTCTGGTAGAAATATTTAAAAACTTCATACAAGTGGCTCAGTTTGACGGATTGGACTACATTTTGCAATGAAGAACAACAATTTCTGGCCCTTAGATAAAAAACATCCATCTGCATAGGGAAACTAATAGCACATATATTGCCTCTAAAATGAGCCAGGAATTGTAGTTCCTGATTGCGAAATGTAGTCCAATTGCTCCAATATAAAATTGCATAAAATAAATATTTATGAACAGATCTCAGTTCTGATCTGAAACAAATTAAATTCCTGCTTTGTGATAAAAATTTTAGAAACTAACGGTTCATCTGCCTACATGTTTATTCACTTTTTAAAAAACAAATTAGGCCCAAGAGTTATAGGTCTATTGGCTCTTCTTTACATATTGCAAGTGGCAAACTCGCTTTTAAAATCGTCACCGATTGTTCAATACCAATGCTAATTAGAATCTTGACTAATAGAACAAAATTGGTCAAGGTTAGGGGAAAACCAATGAATGGTTTGTAATTTTTCCTTGACACTTTTTTGACTTTATAGCAAGTCTAACTGTCCAATTTTTTCTTTTAGGTTTGCGGTATTTTATGGTCATCTGCTTTCAAGGAAATCATATCAGGACATGGCTTTGCAAACAACCAGTTGATTATTTGGAAATATCCCAGTATGGCGAAAGTAAGTAATTATTTATCGACTAAAATTAAGCAAACTTACCATCTGAACACAGTTCACTATCCTTCTGTGATTCAAATCATACAGTTGACTGTCATAAAGGTTTCTTAAAATCAAATCAGTAAATGAACAATTACAAAGTTGTAAAATCATATAATTCAGAATTCCCTCCTGTTGTATTGTGTGTATTTGTTTAACTTTGATGTCATTACTGCAACCTTGTCAGAATCGTTAAATAGAATTGGAAAATAATATTCCTCCTACCTGCACTGAGGATCTCAGGATAAGGTTTTGGGATACATCTGGAAAATTGAATAAACAGAGAATCAAAAGTTACCCAGGAATATCACAAAAATTCTTTACAGAATAATCTAAAGGCCAAAGTACGGAACCACATATCTTTGTTTACGACTTCGCAGACTTTCTGTCATACTTTATTATTTCCTTGAAAAACTAGTCAACAAAATTTCTCGAAAACTTCCCGGATTTCTCTTCTCTCTCAGCTAAATATGAAGCCCTAAAATTGGCTTGTTTCCCAGGGAAAAAATGAAGTAGAAGCAGAAATGTTGAGGTACCCCAACGGAGATACGTGGTTTTGTAATTTGGCCATTGAATCAGAGAATCAAACAAAATAATATCTCTCAGCAGTTTACAAACTGTCCTTTCTGGTGGTTGTTGATTGGTCTAGAAACACATAACACATAAGAAAGAGAATTTTAAGTATTTCTGTTCCAGGTGGCAGAATTAACGGGTCACACAGCACGTGTTTTACATCTTGCAATGTCACCAGACAATACAACTGTGCTCTCTGCAGGAGCCGATGAGACTCTGCGCCTATGGAAATGTTTTGTCCCAGATCCACTAAAAAAGAAAGAAGTCAAAGATTCGGCACCCATTCACAGCATTTTGAAACAAAGTATCCGTTAATTATAATCAAGTATTTCCACTTCATTTGTTTCTTGTGATAACTGTATAGACTGAGCTTATCAGAGTCAGCATTCATTTGACATAGCTGGTAAAATAGGGATGAAACTTTATATATCTATCCTTTTCTTGTTTTAGTATCGAAGATATGCTGACCACTCATTATATGTAGACAAAATACGGTTACGACAGACTGTTTTGAATTGATTATATGTAAACCCATTTTGGCAGCTCAGTTAAATTTTTGCTGATTGAAGTGCTTAATTTTCTCATTCTCATTTAATTTTTCATCAATGCTCTGTTTTGTAAATTATTTATTTTTCTTCTTTTTAAAGACTGTTTTTTATATTTGACACTGTACTCTTCAACTTTGTAAATACTCAACATTCTTTATGGCGAGATCAAAAAGTCAACCCTCAGCTTAAGGTAACTCAATCTAAAAATAGCATGTTGTTGGTTTTAATATGTTTTGTAATTTTTTTTAGAGTTCTTAAATAATTTTTTGAAGGTATATCAATGTAATAACTGCCAGTTAAAATTAAATCAAATAATTTATTTTATCAATTTATATTGTTCAATTTTTACATGCATTTTGCAGATTAGCTCTTTAATATAGCAAAGATATTGTGGTTCTTGAATAAAATTCACAAAATTTAATTAACATTATGACTTTGGTTAATTGGATTTCATAGGACTATCGTATTGATCTTTTAATTCTTACCAGGCGATCTCGACGAATATCTGTGAAAGCAAGTTTTTTCTGGAAAAATTCTTAAAATGGCTACTTTTTCTTGTGAAAATTTTTCCTCAGAAAGAAAAGTGCGTTAATAAATCTGGATTTTAAGAGTAGTGTAGGGGCCAGACAATGGAAGTTCAAATCTGCATGGATCATTGATCAGGAGTCCTACAGTAAAAAAAAAAGACATCCATGAGTAAAAAATAATATCTAACATTAATTTTTGTTCTTTTTTTTTGTAATCCTAAGCACTTGAGTAAAGCGAATCAATAAGAAACGTACATATTGCATGAAATTTTATTCAACGACCAATGTGTTAACTGTTCTTAGGTATGTCCATAATTTTAATAAATGTATTTTTATACTTTTGTGACAATAAACAAATTTTCTCTGTATTTTTGAATGAACCCGCCAATGTTTGTACTTTCTTCAACTTCCAAATATGAAATAAATAAAATATTTTTTTACTATTTTAATTTTTCTGCTTTTCTCTCTGATTCTTTAATGATATATTATGGGATTCATTAATTTTGTATTTAAGTGTTGACACATTGAAAGTCTGTTTTACCCAAAAGTAAGAGCCTTATTCTTGTAGCCACCACAATTTATTTAAAGGAAATCAACAATGTAGTACATGCGTAAATACTTTTAATTTACAATGCAGTTGATTGAAGGCAAACTTAAGATTTTGAAAGAAAATATACAGTAATGGCAGGATTTCTAGTGGTCTGGAAAGGCAGGGAATTCAACGAATAGCTTTTGGTTCAACAACTTCAACTGGTGCTCTTCGAGAAAGTGCAGGCAATTTTTGAGGGCTTTTTTTCATAATTTGAATCTTTCGAAATGGAAGTTTTGTTCCAAGTTTCACAAAATTCAGCATAATGAAAAGAATGAAAAATTTATGAGGAAGTCTTGTCCGAAGTTCTGAGAATTTGAATACTTGAAGTCAGGGAAAAGGGAAACACTAGGGAATTGGAAAATTATGAAATTATTGAATCCTTGAAAAAGATCTCTCCTTCAATAAGCATTTAAAGAAAATATTTTTCACATCCAGTGCATGAATGGAATACAACAATTTTCTTTCTCAGCTCCGTCTCATTCTCATTTATGATACTTATCAAATTTGAGTTGAACAGCATTCAGAGGAGAAAATTGAGAAACAAAATTTTTTATTCGCTCATCAAAATTGCTACTCTAGCCGTTGAAGCACAACTAACATAAAAGACAGACGGAATACAAACACCACATGGAAGTGAAGCTAGGGAAAGGATGCGAGTTGATGACGGCGAAGAGATGAAACTAGTTATTCGTGCTTGATGGATGTCTGTGTTGTATTTGAAAAATGTGCTTTTAGCAAGTCTTGGGTCTATTAGACCCGGCCAAAAAAATAAAATCATGGATAGTTATAGAAAAGAAGTCCCTCTTTTACCGCATCAACAATTTTACACACATTTCGAGTGGATCTAGACATTTTCATGATCTAGATTTGCTTCAAGATAGCTCCCTAATTTGGCCGCACAAGTTGAACAATGTTGCTATTTTTTTTTTTATATTAAATAAAATAATAGAGTGATTTTTGCTTGGCTCCGGCTCATCATTTATTAGAGTCTTAAAGAAGAATTTTATTTGGTTTAATATGATGACCGTCGATTTAGACCCTCTCACTCTACTCCTTCTCTTTTTCGCGTTTCGCCGCACCGTAAAAAGCGTGAAGCTTGACATTGGCAACAATGCCAATATTTGTTCCTGTAAACATTGACTTTTCAGGTTATGTATGTTCATTATTGGTTCATTATCTTTATCTTTCCCTACACATGCTTTTTGTTTCGAACCTTGCAAATAACTCATCAAGCTCAAACAAAATATATTAAACCATGTAAAACTACAGTGAGTTTAAACTTTTAAAGAAATATAGGGTTCCATCTTGTCTCACATCATGTTCTCCTCTAAAGTTGGGATTATTAACATCCCAAAATTTACGAAAAGCTTGTGGAAAAACCAAGTAAGTTGCTCCGATTAAAATTTTACCTTGAACGCAAAGTGTTTTTTTTCTCAATTAAATGTATACCGTCCCTCTGAAGTCTTAGAACTACTTAATTAAATCTTATTAAAAAGAATTTCAATCAAGTAGCATGCATTTATTATCAGACTATTCCCTGATTTGTCGAACTGTTGGTTGCAACGGAAGATTGATGATTGACATCGTTGTAGTCTTAATACCATTAAAATTGACCGGAATGTTTGATCACATACTATGTTTGTCGTTTTGAATACTTCACCAATTTGGGAAATCGATTCCGATTTTCGGCCCTGAATGTTAGATGCAATTTTCGTATCATCGGTGTTGACAAATTCATAGTCTTAAAGTACTCAATTGATTTGAAACCACCAACCCTCAAGCATCCTCCAGTGGAACGCAATTTGTTCTTTTTCTGTATGTTTCAGATACCAAAAAATTCTTTTGTGAGGCAAGCATCCTCAGGCCAATCCGCAGACCAATTGAAGGAGTTCAAGGATGACACTGCTGATTATCTTGGTGAAACCAAAACAAGCGCTGCTATGATCGCTTATCTAAAGCGAGCACAGGCACACAGTATGTATGATTTTCATGAATTTCTAGCCCCTAAGTAGAGGTGTTGTCAGCTGAATTGACTCTTGTTTACATTTCCCTTGCAAGCAATTGGGATGCAGTTGTCCAGTAGGGGTCGAAGATTGACTAAGTACGCTCACCATTGAGCAGCAGTCAATCCTCAACTGCTATCGGACGATTGCATCACGATCACTTGCAAGCGGAATGTGAACAAGTATCAACTTAGCTGGAGACACGTCCACATACCTACCTTCAAGCAATTTTTCAAACTCGTAGGGAACTTTAGTGAAGCAAATACTTGACCAAAAAATGTACTTATTCATGCCAAAGGAACTGAATATGAATGAAGTAAATCAACAGAAACCGTTGAGTACTTCAATTATATGAACATAGTTTCTTTTGATGCAATTCATTTTGATACAGTTCTTTTACTTAGCATGAATACGATCGAATCGTTGCACTTGACTCTCAAAATTCTCCTACGGATCTCTTGAATAATTTTTTTACCTCTCTGCGCATCGAACAGTGTTCCAACTTGAAGATGTAATCTTAGGAGTCACCTTGTCTAAAAAGCCTACTTTGTGGAGCTAAGTGTCCATTATCTTTTATGCACTAAAATGATTTTTTACTCACATATTACCTATCATACCTTCCCTCCTCATTACAAAAACTTTACCTATCATACCTTCCTTCCTCATTACCAAAACTTGAAAAGTTTCGTCGAAAGTATTTACACTTGATATCTTTGATTTGAAGCTGAAAAAATTCCATTCTTTTTTTTTTTTAGCTGAGTTCATCGAAAAACATTCTCATGAATTCCAAGTTGGGAGGAGACATTTGGCCAACATAATGGGCAGAGATCCTGAAACATTCACTCAGGAAGACATTGATGTAAGTTCCTGGTGTTACCTTTAATATAAGTTAACCAAGGTGTCGATAAAATTACAGAATAGTAAAGGAGCAAAATCCATTACGTATACTTTGTTTAAAAGAACTAATCTTTGAATCTGTGATGCAATCATATTTTCAGTGAGCTGATTTCTCAAAAATTATAGGAGTACTTTTAAGTGACAGAGGAGGATAGAAATTTTTAGTATTTAAACAAAGACGAGTCATTATTTGCACTAGTCAATATCTTAGGAGCAAAAATTTTAAAACATCGCAGTGGAGGTATGTGGTTTTGCACTTCGGCCATCGATGTTACTTGTCCTTAGTATTTCAGATAAGTGACCAAACAATCTTAAGAAATGGCAATGTTTCTCCATCTAGCTTGACACCTAGTTTCTCAGTTTCTTGACAATGGGCCTGTTGCAAACTTTTGCTAGAGCAAAACTAAGAGTTGTTTCTTGCAGATAATGCCTCAAAAATCACGATGAGCGCATCGGCAAAGTCTGAAATGCACTCATAATTTCACAATCTGCGTAAGAAATTTGCGGTTTTTTGAGCTTTCCGCTTCGAAAACGATACTACGGTTCAGGTGAAAATTTTGTTAAAGGAGTCGTTCTATTGGCGGCAATACTCATCATGGCCGACGCCAGTCCGCCAAAACACGTGTGATGGGACGAGATAACACCTGAACAGGATTAAACCAGATAACAATCGGCGTGTTTACGTTCATATTTTCCTCGCCCGCCTTAATTGACCTTGAACTCTCCTCGAATTACGCGAGGAACTGCGCAAGCGTCGGCCATGATGAATATTGCCGACGATGGAGCGACTCCTCTAACAAAATGTTCACCTGTGCAGTAGTATCGTTTTTGAAGCGGGAAGCTCAAAATAACGCAAATTTCTTACGCAGATTGTGAATTTATAAGTGCATTTCAGACTTTGCCGATGCGCTCATCGTGATTTTTGAGGCATTATCTATAGGAAACAACTCCTCATTCTGCTCTAGCAAAAGTTTGCAACAGGCCCATTGTGTTTTTTTTTTTTTGTTTTTTGTTTTTTTTTTCAAACTTTTCTCCATTTTTATTTTTACTCACATGAAGTTTAGGTCTAAAAACACTGATTTTTCTTTAATTTCAGGAATCTATTGAGTATTTATTTCCTTCTGGCTTGTTTGAGCCACTAGCTCGTCCTATGATGAAACCACCCGAGACCATTTTTGCTGCCAAGAAGGAAGCTGAATTTGATGAAAGTGGAAAGCCCTTTCATTGGCTATTTTACACAACTTATCCAAATTTTTTTGAGCTCCTACACGTAAGTAATTCATTGCATTCCTCTGTATATTTCACTATTTTTGTCCAGAGGATCGTCATTTTTGATTCGGATGATTGTGCAAGACATGATTTATTTTTTTAAAAATTTAATGCACATACCTATAAGAAAATGATTTGATCATATTGACAAATATGCCTAGTAGAATCTGGTGCCCATGACCATTGAAAGAAGCCAAGGAACACTTGCAGGTTTTCTCAGCCGTTTCTTAATTTTTTCATTAGTAAATAGAAACGGACAAGCAAACAATACCTGAGGAATGCAACAAAATGAAGCAAAGTTTCAGTTGTGACAAAATTTTCAGGAGGAATAAAATGTTCTCTCCTCCTGTCTACTTTTTGAAAAGTGAAACAATGCTCTTATCCTCCTTCTGGCAATGCAATCAGAAAACTTTGCTGTGGAAAAAACTGCTGTGTTAGAAAAAATGGTAGGTTTTGAGGCCTTATGGCACTCTTTGCATTCCCGAGTATTTGATCCCCAGGAATGTTTCAAGCTCTCAGTTGCACTGAAGAGCTCTAGGCTCCTTTTATCCCTGATTTATGTTAAACATTTTGCTCGGCTAATGGGTCACTTGCGCTGGTCACAGAATTGTATTTTGATGCTTGATTCTTGTAGATTAGCTGAAAATGATAAGACCTGTCCAAATAGCAACTTTCTACTTTCAATATCAACCGAGATAATGCCCTTTGAAAAGTCGGGTTTATGACGTTATCCACTGCAGTGGTGACACCTTTGGTTTCCTCCACCTTGATTTCATCAGTCAGTGTGACGCACATTTGCAATAGTTATTCTACGTGAAACTCGGATGAAAGCAAAGTGGAAGAAACCAGGGGTATCACTTCTGCAATGGATGATGCCAAAAACCAGACTCTTCAAAGGGCAATAATTTGGTTAATACTGAATGGAGAAGATTGCTGTTTGGACAAATCTCATTATTTTTAGCTGATCTACTAGAATCAAGCATCGAAAAACGATTCTGTGACTAGCGCAACTGACCCATTGCATTTGAAATCTTGGGTCTTGCTTGAATGTAATTTATGAGTTTGTGCTGACAATGAAAGTGCTTCTATGTATACCATCAATCACTCCAGTGAATGTTTTGATTGAATTTAACTTTTTTTATTTTTTATTTCTGCTCTCAGAATGTTGTTGGCAAAATGAAAGAGCTGAATAGGTTTGAAGATGAACAGATTAGGAAAGGTCTCACCCCGCCAGAAAACAGCGCTGTGTAAGTACCCTAGAACCTATTTATCTTGGAAAGTACATGTCTCAAAAAGTTTTGGAAGCTGATGCAATATGCATTGTAAAAAAGCTTATTTTTTTCCCCCTATTTTGCTGAACCTGTAGACAAGTAATTTTGGTGAAAAACTCTCAAAACATTTTTTTTCTAATCAAATTGTTTTTAACTTCTCAGGAGCATGGGTGGAATGGAGTGGCTGCCTAAAAAGCTCCTTGATAAGAAGTTACTTGAAGAAATTCCCGAAGATGCTGTGAGTAAAATTTTCTGTATCCGAAACTTCTATAATGGACCACTAGACTAGGTGCAAATTCAAGCACTCTAATTTATGTTTCTTCATCAAAATTTAATGTAGAACATTGCATGCGCAACAAAGGACCCCGCACACCTCTTATGGGAAAATGCACCATGACCGAATGCTAATTGATTTACGTCATTCAATTCTCCTCAAGATGCTGATCAAAAGTTATAATTGCGTCAACTTTCTACGATGCACCGTTTTTGTAAAAAAACCGCCAAGAACATCCAATTATTCGGCGATAAAAAGGCAGAAAGATTCCTCATTTCAGTACTCGATTGACAAGCGGCTGTGTGTCAACAAGGAAATCATGGGAACTCCCGCACCCAGCGGTAGTCTTATCTCGGATTCTGTATGCCGTTTGGCTCGACCATCCAAATCAGATTCCTGAGGAGCATAAGAACAGGAAAGTTTGAATGTCAACCGGACGAGAGCGGGAGGGAGATAGCCCCAGAGTCGGCGGGTACAGATAAGAAGATGGACACTCGCCACGTTTTTTCCTTATTTACATTAGGCCTGTTCTCAAATGCTTTGTTCGTTTTTATTCATTGTCGCCGAATAATTGAATCTTCTCGGTGGTTTTTTTTTTTGTAAAAACGGTGCATCGTAGAAAGTTGGCGCAATTATAAGTTTTGATCAGCATCTTGAGGAGAATCAAATGACATAAATAAATTAGCATTCGGTCATGGTGCAGCTTCCCATAGGAGGTAAGCAGGGTCCTTTACTCAGATATATGCCTAACCAAGAAAAACGTTTTTCGATGAGTAGATTCGAAGCTCCCTCTTGTGAAAAAACAAAAGTCTATGTGAGTCAAATGGTGCATTAAACTACTGTAACAGTCTCGGCAGTATGTGACAGCTTCAATCTCAGTGGTTCGGCTTAGCCGTTGAACGTTGTTAACACTTTGAACAACACAAGGTGGAGAGGGAACATTGCCTAATCAAGAAACCTACATCAACCGTTACATTGATCGACTTGATGCAAAGAGACAATTGTTTTTCTTGTGAGTAGGGATTTCAAAATTCCCGTAGTTACTGTAATCTAAAAACGTTAATATCTTAGGAGTTGATTTCAGTAATTTTTTTTGCAGAAATCTAGTTCTTTGTGAGCATGCTCAAGGTGAAACATGTATCAAAATGTTTAAATTCGCACTTAGTCTAGTGGTCCATTTTCCTATTTTAATGGAAAAATATGTCTGGTTTATCTAATCCTCATCGAGGATTTGAAAAATGTTCTTCATTTTTGTGACCTGGAGTATCATTTTAAATGAACTTGACTCTAACAATTTGGCTGATTCAAAACATCATTATTGTTAATTTTGATGTTTGAAATCCACACAAGTAACTCCTTATTTTCAGTTTTGTAACTTTCCGCTCGAATTTCCAACAGTAGTAATTTCATCTTTCCAAGCAGTGATGAAATTTAGGAAACCGGTCAAGTTCTGTTAAGCCAAGGTATTCCACCTGTAGCATAGACTATTTTTCTTCGCCTGAAAACAACTATTTGCAGGTGAAGGTTTGAAAGTATTGAAACTTGCAGACTGCAATGAAAATAGTCAAGCTTATTTGAAAATTGACCATTTTACAGGTCAGAAATATTATTGGTGCTTTGTTTTACTAATTGAAATATTTCTTTAGAAATTTGTTAAACCTGTATTCATATTTTCTCTTACATATTCAGAAATTGGTCGACTTAGATTTTTGACGAACTAAAGAATTTGTTTATCCATGGCCAAATAAATTATCCTTTATTTCTTCATGTTTTATGTCAAAATTGAAGCCAAAGAAGGAAAAAAAACAAATTTGTGGCATTGAAAGCCTCAAAACCCAGGAAATTTGTGATTGGCGTTTTTATGCATTTCCTAATTTTACAATCTTTGGTTGGGAAGGTAAATAGTCAAGATCAGAATATTGGTTATTATCGTTATCATTTGTGTCTCTGTATATTTGTAGTTATGAATTCCTGAATTATCAAGCTCATTACACCTGTTAATCTTTTTTTGGTTTCTTGCAGTACAAGCAGTTCCTAGCTTTGATGGACCGTTTTATTCAGCATCCATATGCTTATTTAGCTGCTGATACATATGAGCCTGTAAGGAAATCACTATTAGATAAGAGAAAACAGATTGTGGAACTTGAGGTAAGTTATCCTGAAAGCTCTCCAAGGTGAGGGATGCGAAATTCAGATTTTTAATCCCAATCAAACGTATACTTTTCCTTTGTCCATTTTCCCCATTATTTATTTATTTATTTATCTAACCATGGATGTCGGAGGAGAGGCTGCCAAACAAGATGCTTGATTGGGTTTCCTCTGGGAGGAGACGAAGGAGACGTCTAGTGAGAGGGTGGCGACAGGGGGTTTTAAATGAAATTAGGATATGCCAACTCCTTGATGGGTTTTGGAAGGATCAAGTACTATGGCCGTTCGGCGTCGCAGAGTTTCAGAGAGCAATGTGAAAGCAACTTTTATGTTTGTATGTAAATTGCAATATTTTTACATCATTTGGTCAACAAATACCGATTTTAAACGATCAACAAAGTGTGTTCCATGTGTCAGAAAAATAGGCAATATTCAGTGCAATGAAAAATTGCAACTTATTTCAATTTTATTGCAAAATTCAAAGAGCTGTGTGCCTTCAATCCGTAGACAGGTAACACTTACATCACTCCAATGCAGTAGCAATAATTTTACCGTGTAAATGCAATTTATCAGTGGTGTGGCATGCTTTGCGACATATCAATGTATCTGCCATTTAAACCTATGGAAAAAGATCAATAATCAGGGTGTTTGCAATGAACACCTTAATAATCGATTCTTTACCATAGCTTTAAATGAGGAAATATCGATAATCGATCATTCATGCCTCGCCACTGCAATTTATTGCAATCTGTGCTACTTGGGTGAGTGAGTAGATCTTGGTTACATTTGCCTCCTAACGTTTCTATTTTTGATTTTTTTCTTTTTTCCAGCCACAATTTACAGAAGATGGAAGAACTTATATAACAACCACAGGTGAGCTTCATACAGTCTCTTTTTTTTTTAAAAAAAAAAGAAAAAAGAGAAAAAAGGAGATATTCCTGCATATTAATTATAGAGAAATTTCATTTTAAAACTTCATTTGCTTACAGTGGCCTAAGAAACACTAAAGTCAGGTATCTTTGGAAATGAATATGAGTACTCCAAGCTTGACACAAGCAGAAGCACATGTTATTTATGCAAGCAAAACTATTTTGCAGTGCTGGCATATATGATTGGAATCTCATCAAAAGGAGTTGAGATCTAATTTTATATCTTGTTTGTTCTCAATAATTTTAAATGGACAATAAGCTAAAGTTTTTCGTGGCAAAACTGGAAGAAGGAAGTTCAATACCCTCAGAGTGAAGTGATGAATCTTGGTAAAAAAAAGTATGCGCTTTTATTTTTAAGATTTTGCGATCTCAGCTATTCCTGTCATGGTTAGGTCACCTTGATGACCTTAATTTGGCTCACTTGTTTCCAATTTTGCTGTTACAGATAATACTAAGAGGCCTGCTGTTGCCAAAGTCACGGTTTACAATCCAGGAACGGGAAAATTCACTGTCAATGGAGAAGACTTGTTGTATTTCAAAGACGTGCAAAGCAGAGAGCAGGTAAGCAACCAAATCCAATATTTTTTCTATTCATGCGTAAACCTTCTTTTTCTGTCTTGATCTGTCCCTTCTTTTCTAATTCCAAAGCTTCAGAAACTTCCTTGTGGATGAATTGCCATATTTAGCATAAGTAGAGAAAGACAAAAAAAAGGAAAATTTTGACAATTTATCCATGTTTCAGAAATCTCACCAATCCAAGTCGGATGCTGAGTGACGCATCAGCGTTTTCCTGACTAGATTAGATTATTAGATTTGTTTCCAAAAAGAATGCAGTTTCAGTCAAAGTTAAATTCAAGCCCTGGTTTTCTTAAAGTAAAGTAGCTTTTATAAATGCCGTTTAAAGGGGCTGTCCATAGATTACGTCACCCATTTTTTTCAACTTTTCAACTCCTCCCTTCCTCTCTGTATCTAAAAATTACGTCATCCTTAACGTACTCCCCCTACCCTCTTTTTTGGAGGAAAACGCAGGAAATTGATAAAAATCAGAATTACAAGCGAGCATTTTCAGCCATTTTGCCCTCAGGAAAGCTAATGTCATTCGCGGCTTGATCCTCCCTTCCCACCAGTCTCCCACCTTCATCCATTGCTAGGCCCCCCTCACCCCTCCTTCAGTGACGTAATTTATGGACGGCCTCAAAAGCTGCAAGAATAAGCTTATTAATGGTTAATTTAGAATTTTTCCACCTCCAATAACTGGTCAGAAAATTGTCTTTAGATTTTGAAAAAAATGTGGTAGGAGATTTTTCCAGGTGACCCCCACCAAAAAATGAATTTTCCAAATGACTATAGTAAAATTTAAGTAAAAAGAAAGTAAAATTAAAAACAATAAATACCTTCAAGAAGCTAGAAATACTGTCTCAGCAACGGGATATTTAAAATATATTTAGCTTTCATAGTTCCTAAGAAAAAAATCGAAAACCCATCGTCTAAACGACCCCCATACAAACGCGAGTTTCTCACTTGTAAATTAGTTTTAGCAGTTTTTACTGTGCGACTGTGTGCTTTCGGTGAAATTTTTACCAAGAAATGTACCTTGTGGTACTCATATTCGCGCTCTGTCTCTTGGTCTATTATACCGCTCTGAGGGATCATATCCATAGGCGAAACTAGGAATTTTTTGTGGGGTCGTCAAAGAGGGTGCAGGGAACACTAAAAACAATACGTTAACTAGGGTTTGTAGGACTCCCCCAGTTCCAGAAAGGGGTTTGGTGGATTTCCCTAACGTCAAAGGGGGTCCTCCCCCAGAAAATTTTGAAAATCTGAGCCGCCTCAGGAGCTATTTTGAGCTGTTCTTACCAATCAATTTTTCGAATCAAAATTTCACAGATGACAACTATCTCGCACACTCATTCAGCAAAGTTTCCCTCATTCCTCGGGGGGGNGGAGGGGCATTTCAATTACCGGCAGTGGGGGGGAGGCGGACCCCCTCCAACCCCATACTAGTCCCGCCCATCCCTCCAAAAATGTGTCTGCAATTATTTCAGTTGAGTCGTTACTTTACCAAACGATTCAATCGGCATCTTTCTCGCTCATTTAGCACGATGTCCGTCTTTCCTCAGTTTACACACTTCCTCAGCCGATCATTTGGACTCGATCGAGTAAATAATCCACGCGTACACACGCTCCTTTCTCTCCGCACCCGATCGTCACGTCGGTCAGTTTGCGTCCGAATTTTCATTTGTATACTTGAGTTACGACTCGCCCTCGATCAAGATTGGATCGTCTATTTACCTGGCGGTTTCATCGCGTTGCATCCATTTTTCTCAGTTCCTTGAATCTCGAGTGATGGTTAATGTTGTGAGGAATTTGCGATTTGACTGTTGATTCTTACGTTAAAGTTCGCGAGAAACACGATGGTCCCACTGGTTTTCTCTGAAATCAACTCCCAAGCTCAAAAAAAGCTTAAGTTGAGGCCAAAATGGAGGGGATATTCCACGCTATCCTGAGAGTCCACCTCTATATCAAGAAAGCAAATACATTGACAGGGCTGCCACTTTATTTGGGGACTCTAAAACTGAAAACACGGCATTACTGCTAATGTATTTGCTCCCTATTTATGCATGGAAAGTTTGTTTTGATGTAGAGGTGAACTCTCAGGATAGCGTGGGATATCTCCTCCATTTTGGCCTCAACTTGAGAGCTTTTTTTGAGCTTTGGAGTTGATTTCAGAGAAAACCAGTGGCACCGTCGTGTTTCTCGCGAACTTTTACATAGGAATCACCAGTCATATCGCAAATTCCTCACACATGCAACATCTCCATTCGCCGAGTATCCGTCAAAATCCCTGAACGATCGGAATCGGACGTATTTAAGCGGAAGAAGATATATCTGCATTTGGAATTCTGAGGAAAAAAAACCGTGTGTAATATGCTGCCGTGCTAAAAAAAAGACGCCGTATGAACATTCGAGAGTTGCCGAATTGTCCCGAATAAGACGTTTATTTTTGGAGAAATTTATGCATTTTTTTCTTTAAAATTTTCAGACGGTTTAGCTAAAAATGCAAACAAAATTGTCTGAAAAAATTGAAGAAAAATATCCACAATTTTCCTAGCTAATTGGGTTTTTATGGAAGAAAATATGGCAACGTCTGAAGGCTCATACGGCGTTCTTCCTTAGCACGGCAGTATGCATGCCTTATATGTGTGCTGTGTGTGTGAGAGCCCCTATATGACCGTATTCATGCTAAAAGGAACTACATACATGGGCTTTGCATGCTTTATGTTCCTTTCAGTATAAATTTGTCCATTTGAAGAAGGGCATAGCGCGTAGCTGCCAAAATTCAAGTTTTGAGAAAACCTGAAGAAAAACTTGATTACTTCGACTGTTCCCCCACATAGCACAGAATATTGATATAATACTACAATAGTACTGACACGTCAGTAGTGTCAGTATTTATATAATGCTGATGTATCCTGATTTAATATTATATCAAGACTATGCCAGTATTTATTAGTTACTGATTTGGAGCTGTCAAAATATTGTTCCAGTATTGGCCGAAAAGGTTGATTTCATTTGGAAATCAGGGTTATGACAAGGTCATCAGAACACTGCAGGACACCGACAATATGTATGCGTTACTACCTTGACACTGACACGTCTGTACACTCAGCGCACTCTGTCAAGTAGATATGAAAGTTCAGACGATGACCGTCATTTTCATAGTACTACACATGTATTACATTTGAAACATGAATTACACAAGTATACAAGTATTGAATATTATAAACCACTTATTTGATGTCCTGCGACGTTTAGTAGCGTAAAATACCCGGACGCCCTCAGGTGGATTTGAACCCGAACCTCGGAATTCCTAGCCCAGTACTCTGCCATTGAGCCATACAGGGAGCTGATGGTGCTTAGGGTTAAAATCACGCCTGTTAAGGCTGTTATAGCATATGCATAGCATCAGTGCGCGGCTCGACTTTCATCATAACTTTGATTAACACCGTGTTTTCTTAGGCTTCTTTTTCTTCCTATATTTTTTTTTTCATTTTTTCGTGTTATTTTTTTTTTTTTATCTCGTCAGCATTGACTCAATACTGTTGTTTGATATATTGAAGGTATCAGTGTTATATTCATGCTGACGCGGTATACCTTTTAACCGACAATCTTAATATCATACTGCATTAGTGTTGGTGATATCATGTCAACATCCAATAATATGTATCAGTATTGACATAAGATTCTGTGCTATGTGGGCCTCATATCTCTGCTCGAAGAATCCAACCATACGCTCTGCACAGTGGCGATTCTCGCAAGTTGACAACACTGTTTTTTCTTCAGTCAAATGTACGTTAAACAATCGATTTTGGCGAAACGTGTAGGTAGATTTTTCGGCATTCGATGTGAAACCCTCAACACTCGCATTTCCCGCCAAAATCGGCCTTCAGACCCATGTTCAGGCCCGTGTTAGACCCGAATAGAGACCGAAAATGTCCGCGGACAATGCACGGACCATGGTCCGCTCCTGGAAATGTAGACCTTCAATGGGCGAAAAATCGTTGAGTTGAGGAAATTCTGCAGGGTGCATGGGCCCAAAAACGGCTTTTATCGACACCCTTACCTTCAATAAAAAAAACTGTCTGTGTCGAATAGATGGGTCCGATTTTAGGAGTGAAGTTCGAAAACCGGTTCGGGAATAACGAGAGACTAAAAAAGGAAAGAGACCCTGGTAAAAATTGGCGATAAGAGCAAGAGCTGCGTTTCAAAATACCGTAGGAATTCTTATAGTCGACTAAAGAAGGCTACAGAAAATCATATAGCTGGCTGTATAATGCGGAGAAAATCCTACGGCCGGGCTATACGAAGCGATAAAAAATTATGCAGCCGGGCTATAGTTCCTATCGCCGGGCTTTACACTTTATCGCCTGGCTGTTGCTTTTTCGCCATCAATTATAAAAGGCTATAAGAAATCGTGTAGAAATTCGTGTGCTTTGGAAATCATTAAGTTTAATACGGAACCACCTTAATATTCACAAAACACACATTATATTTTCCTTTAATACATATGTTTTTTCATCAATTAAAATGAGAATAGTCCCTACAGAATGTGCAAACATTTAAAAATCATGAGTTGAAAAACGCTGCCTCCGCGAGATTAAATATTAGAGCCTATTACAAAGCGGAGCGGCGACGCACTGGCGCCTACAAACCTAACAGGGATACTGCACGCATTGCGCAACGCGTGAAGTATCCCTGTTAGGTTTGTAGGCGCCAATGCGCGTTTCGCGCTCTCTGCCCGCCCGCCGCGCCACAGCGTGCCACGGCGCGGCGTCTGAAGCAATTATTTCACACCAGAGGTATTGCACAGTATCATAAGAAATTGGAGGCGCTCCAACATATTGAGAATGACAGGCATCCTTCAAAAGTACGGAGCTTTCCTCGCAAAATAAATCAAGATACCACGGCTCAAAAAGAGAGCAGTATTCCAAAAACTCACTAAGTCCTAGCATCCGTAATTAGAAACGCTTAGCATACACTTTATCGCCTGGCTGTTGCTTAATCGCCATCGGCTATAAAAGGATATAAGAAATTGTACAGCCGGCTACAGAAGCTATTGAAAATCTTACAGCCGGCTGTAGGTCTATGGTATTTTGGAACACAGATTCTACTGCCAATTTTTACCAGGGGATTTTGGAACGGTTATCTTGACTGTGTTTTGCCCGGATAGTATTCGCAAAAATCGTCAGTACATGACACTCACAATCAGTCAGTAACGCCACGCGCCGTGTCGCCAGGATGCACCAGAATCGTTAGTCCTGTCGTCACGCACACTAATATGCATTGAAAGTTGCGCCTGCACGCCCCAGCCAATCTGCATCTGAATGGCTAACGTCTTCCCCCATTGCCGAATATCATCGTTAATCCCTATTTCCGACTTGTTCTTACTGCTTAGAGAACTCAAATCGGTGGCCAAGCCTCCTCGTTGATAAGCAAACGTGATTAGCCGTTTGTTTCTGGTCTCATTTCTACGATAAATCAGCCACACTGCCGTGCTAAGGAAGAACGTCATCTGAACATTCGAATGTTGCCAAATTTTCCCAAATTATATGTATTTTTCTGAGGACAGGGTGTCTACAAGTCCGTTGATAAGCGAACGTGATTAGCCGTTTGTTTCTGGTCTCATTTCTACGATAAATCAGCCACACTGCCGTGCTAAGGAAGAACGTCATCTGAACATTCGAATGTTGCCAAATTTCCTCAAATTATATGTATTTTTCCGAGGACAGGGCGTCTACAAGTCCGGAATTTCCGGAAAGTCCGGAAATAGTGCTGATCTCTTCAGAGCAGTCCGGAGGTATTTAAAAAGTGCGTATATTCCGCGAGAGGGTCCGGAATTTTTTTTAAATTTGTCGTCATTTTTGTCGCAATTTGAGCAAAAAATTCAAATTCTTTAAATTTTTCGGATTTCGTCGATGGGAGATACTGAAAAAGTACTCAATGTTTACTGTTGAGGAGGTACTGAAAATCTTAGGAATGTACTGAAAAAGCACTGTAAAAGTACTGATTTTTGGCCAGCCTGTTTTAGTAAACACACCGGAGGAAATGTATGGATATTTTCCTTGAAACGCTCAGGAACTTTTGGGAATAGCCAACAAAATCATCTGAAAAAATTGGAAGAAAAAAAGTCATACGTTTACCAGGAAATTCGTGTTTTATCGGAGCAAATTTGTCAAAGCCTGGGTTCATGCGACGTTCTTCCATAGCGCGTGGTGGGCGAAGGGATGGTCTTTGACAGTACCGCCTACCGCCCCCGCAATTTTTTTCCCGCGTGCGTCACGGCATCGCCATAAAAGGAAAGCGCATGGGCATTGTCGAATGGAGACGTCAATGGACAATTATTGGACGTATTTGTGCTAAAAGGAACTATGTTTCACGCAAGGTCTGTGCATATAGTTCCTTTTAGCACAAGTACGTACAATTGAACGATGCGCTTTTACCGACGCAACGAGCCGGTCAGTCGTGACGTGAATACGAAATGAGCATTGCTACTTCTTGCTATCCAAACGACGGCTCTTAAAGACGGCCGAAATCCCAGCGGGCTGGACGTTGAAATCCATAAAACAGAGCTGTAGCCAACGAAGAGAATGGAAAAATGGAGCAATCCTACAGGTGAAAATGGGTCGCTGCAATAGACTGATGACGCAAGTAATATACTAATAACTAATGGTAACCCACGCTGTCGTGCTAAGCAAAAACGCCGTAAATACAGCAAGATTTTCCCTCGTTTTTTGAAACTTAACAATTTATAAAGTGAAAACTGTCTTACCCACGCACATAATTGCCTCCATAGAACGGGGCTCCCAGCTCCCACGTTCCTGCGACAAGTTAGCGCGGCGAGATAAAGTACAAATCGAATATTTTAAGCGGGATCAACAATAATTGAATTAGACAAATTATTTTAAGTAAACAACATGGATGAAAATATACGTTAGTATATTTTCATTTTTCATCCATGGTAAACAAACACGAACAATCGAGTAAGCAACAAAATTTCACTCAATTTGCTTTCACTTCCTCCTCTCTAAGTTGGTCTTAGGGGGTACACGAACCCTACTTGGTACTGGGAAAAATATTCTCAAGTGGGATTTTTCCCTGGGACAAACTCCGTGAAACAGCCCATGGAGACAAAGCCTTTCTTCAGTTGCATCTAGAGCACTCAAAGTCATAAATTCCGAATTCAGCGTCGAAGCAGTCGGAGGTCGCACACATTCCTGCTTCCATAAGCGAGACATGGAGCTTGGTCACGGGCCTGCTGCAATGAGAATACGCTCCGATTTCAGCTTCTACCGTTCAGCAATGAGTCACTGGGCCAAGCCGTGCATAAACAATAACAGATCAGCGTTGATCAAGGCCCCGATAAGAGTTCGCAGTGGGCATCCGAAGCATTTTGAGTAAAAATAATAGATACTCCATTGAAAACGCCTCGCATTTGTGTCTTTTTTAAGTGTGGAGTTTTCATTATCTGATCGAAAGTTGATATACGCAACGACCGGGCAAAATCAGCGGACGAGTCACGGTCAGTGGCGTCAATGTAGGGTCCGCAGTGCGGGTGTATCCACGGCTCTAGAGTGCTCTTAGTAGCCCTCTGAAATTTTCAATTTTTTTAAAAAAAAAAAGAAAAAAAAAGAATTCAATTTTTTAATCAAGCCTTAAGGATATTCAGAGGGGCCTAGAAATATTGTGTGGGGGCGGGCCCGCGCTTGTCAGGATTGCCACAGTCAAGGAATACCGGGAAAACCAGGAAATGCCAGGGAAAACCGGGAAATGTCAGGAAAAATGACGAAAATGTCAGAGAATAATTATCAACTCACCTTATTATCTGTTTTTTAGAATGGGTTTGAAGTTTAGAACGACAAATTTTGCCTGAAAACTAATTTTAAGTATGTCTCTTTACCATCTAGCATATCTTCAATTGGCAGGGAATTTCACCTAAATATGTCAGGGAAATCCGGGAAATGTCTGGGAATCGCATTTTCTGAATGCTGTGGCAGCCTTGGCTTGTGTTCCTAGAAGTTGTTTCCTCTCAGCTAGGATCACATAAACAATTCCAACTTAATTCGCTCAACAGTTACAGGCGTAGTGCCTGGCGTGAGACTTTTAGATCATCCTGCAGGTACGGTGGTAGCTCTAGTTGAAGTTTGCAACAGGCCCATCGCAAAATGTGGTCCAGTTATCATCCTTAATACCATGTTACTCCTAGAACCTTCTTAAAAGACTTCACTCAAGCACAATTTAAACTATATGAGGCCATCCCTCGGAAAAAAACTGATTTTGGAGCGACAATGAACAAGACCCTTAGAATATTCTGCATCTCTGCCACCAGACGCTAAGAGTGAAATAGTTGCACTACGAAGTAACACTTTAAGGCGCCTAGAATGTTTTGAATCACCACACTTGCGATGAGAATTGTGCAGAGTTTCCGCATTTCAACAAATAGAGCCGGAGCGATGAGATACATGCCTGAAATGCCCCAGGAAGAGCATACAGGTCATCCGCCGTGCCAAGGAAAAACATCGTATGAACCCTCAGGTGTTGCCAAATTTCCTTCGATAAAACACGACTTTCCCCGTAAACCTATGAATATTTTTCTTCCAATTTTTCGGACAATTTCTTCCTCAATTTCACCCGAAGTTCCTGAAAATCTCAGGGAAAAATATTCATACATTTCCTCAAAAATAAACGTTTTGGTGAAGGAAATTTGGCAACTCTCGAATGTTCGTACGGCGTTTTTCCTTAGCACGGCAGTCATACCGTCCCCTCTTTAACGTAAGGGCATATCTCAATTTCCACGTGAGCCTTGGTTTACTTATAAATCCATGCTTTCTGGAGCGCATTTGAGATACGCCCTCACGCTAGAGGAGCGACTAAAGACCGCGCTGCCGTGCTTAGGAAGAACGCCGTATGAACATTCGAGAGTTGCCAAATTTCTTTCGTTTAAATGTTTATTTTTAGGGACAGTTATGAATATTTTTCCTTTAAATTTTCAGAATCCTTAGGTGAAATTGTGAACAAAATGATCTGAAAAATTGGGAGGAAAATATTCACAAGTTTACCAGTAAATTTGCGTTTTATGAAAGGAAATTTGGCAATGCCTAATGGTTCATACGGCGTTTTTCCTTAGCACGGCAGCGCGCATGGGTTGATGCCCTCCTGCTCCAAGAGGCATTTCCTGGGAGCTTCGCGTCACGGTGACTCATGAGTCATACGTGTCATGCTCATCGCGTTCCCCGTAGTAAGTATCTACATTTTAATTGTACCGCGGCTCATCATGCATGAAGCACGGTATTCGCATTCGATCAAAGAGTAACTCAGTTGAGTCATGCTCGCCAACGGTCAATATCAACCACCCCTTCTAGGTCTAGGCCGTCCAGCTCCTGCATGCGGCACATCTCGATCGTTGGGGTTTTCCTTATCACTGGTTTTCCTCCTGCTGAACTTTTTGATCATTTTTTTCTTTCGCGTAGGTAGGCGTGAGGCGTTGATTATTTGCAGGGGTGTAGAAAGTTCCTAGCCCTCTCATTTGAAAAACTCCTTTTTCCTCAGAAATGTCAAAAATATGACATTTTTACAAAAACTTCACACCGATTATATCATGATTTGGCCATTTTCGATCTGTTTTTGGTGTCTGATACTGGTCATGGGTCTTAAGTCCGGTTTTGGCGAAAAAGGCAGGTTTTGTGGGTTTGCTGTGGAATGCCAAAAAATCCCCATTTTCGGCCAATATTCGGCCTTCGCAGACCCATGTTTAGGCCAGGAATTAGACCTGAGCATAGACCAAAAATGACCAAACCATGATACATTTCGTGAAATATAGACCCTCGATGAGTCAAAAATTGTAAAGTTAAGGAAATTCAGCTGAGGTGGCTCCAAAAACGGCCCTCATCGGTATCCATCCCTTCACAGGTTTCTCAGGCCCCGTGAAATTACCGAAAGTACTCCACAAAAATCCAATGTTTCGTATCTTTCTTACATCTCATGCTGCCCTGGTTACGCGACACTTGAAATAACACGTTCAATGGAGATGTTGCATGTGTGAGTAATTTGCGATTTGACTGTTGCTTCTTTTGTAAAAGTTAGCAAGAAACACGATGGTGCCATTGGTTTTCTCTGAAATCAACTCCCAAGCTCAAAAAAAGCTCCCAAGTTGAGGCCAAAATGGAGAGGATATCCCTCGCTACCCTGAAAGTCCACCTCTACATCAAAACAAACTCTCCATGCAAAGACAGGGAGCAAATACATTAGCAGGGTTGCCGTGTTTTCAGTTTTGGAGTCCCCAAATAAAGT